CGCCTTCTCGAGCGTTCTAGCTTCCTCTCGATCCCCCTCGAGAGCTCTCCTTGGACACGTGATCATCCCCCTAGCCCCCCCCACCTGGGGCCTTCTCTGTGGACACTCCAGATCACGTGTCTACGGGGTCAACCAGAGTGCCATGGCCCGGGGCAGCCCTGCTCCTGGGCCGACACTCTCCCACTCCCCCTTGTGGGAGCCCGCACTGCACGCTATGTGTGGTGCTCGCGCTATCCCAGCGCTCGCCAAGCCCCGCTAGGGCTGGTACTACACCCGCCTACGGGGTGTACGCGGTGACGGTGCATCGCACGCCGTGCTGTGCTCGAGCCGGCCTCACACAGCAACCCAGTGCTGTCCACGACGTAGGAACATCACACTAGACATGTACAACACTGGAATTGAGTAAACTTTATTTGTGTATATTCCCTATCCCTGTTGGAGATATAGAGCCACCAGGATTTGTGTAACTTTCAGAAAAATATGAATGGTGAAAATTCCTAAACATGGCATGTTGGGGAAGTTCTGTGCTTGCCACCGAAATATGACATGCCCTGCAGACAAAAATGCATATACATTACATCCCCACAAATGCTTATAATATTAATGTATCAACTGCCATCTTTGTGTAATTTAATATGCTTCATTCAATTAAGTGTCCCATATTTAACCTGGTGAAACCCTAACAAGATTATGCATCCATATCGCCATGGAGTGCTCCAACATAAAAACAATCGGGATGCAGTCTCATTTTAAGTAGAAAATTATAAGTCTGGTTGATGCTCATAATTTATCATCAATAATGTTTGATTTAATTATTAAGAGTTTAGAAATGTTTTATCAACTTATGCGTTTTGTTAATATTTGCTTCTCAGTGGCATTTAATTGTAAACGATGCAAGCATGGACTGTAAACTACCAGTTTGAGTATGCACAAGCAGATCACAGTAATCATTTGGCTAATTATGCTACAATTGCTTGGGCAGTGAGCAACTACAGTAAATATGGTGCATATGCTCATGCGGTACACTTCCATGCACATGTTGTATACACAGCTGCAGCAGTGGAAAATCAAGATGATAGCCTTAACCCTTTCAGCAAGAATACAGGTGTTCAGATGTTCAAACACCAAATATATACCTATCACAAGGATTCAAATTTGTATTAACCACACATGCTTATGATAAAACATGCAAACAAGAATGCTTTGATAACACTGGTCAACAAAAAAAAAATTCTGGCCTGGACTTTTGCAGCTGGTTTAGAATAATTTCAGGGTGCTGATTCCAAATCTGATCTCAGATTTGCTCTATCACATCTCATTTTATGCTATCGGCATACCCCATTTTCATTGATTTTACCCGAAATTAACTGTCACTTATGATTGAAAGTTGTTGCGAATCAGTGACTGCTTTAGTGTTAAATATGGTGCTGTATTTTTAGGATAGTGTGTTTATAATATCATTTTATGTAGATATCCACATTTATTTAATATTTTTCTTCTGCAGTTTTTATTGAAAATGCAATATTTGATATCTCAAAAACCTGATGTGATAGACAAAAACTGATTCCAGATTTGGAATCAGCACCCCAAAATTACCTTAAAACCGTTGGAATACCTTATGCCAGAAAAAGTGTGTTGACCAGTGTAATATAATGTATGCATTGTCCTTCAAACTGAGTGGCCTACACCAGACAGAGCTCGACCTGAGCTCTTAATGCTTGATTTTTCCATTGTTTTTGTGCTCTTCAATTTTTGGTATTCTTTGTTCTAACACTTGTGAGACAAGGCCTAAAGGAGGCTCTCTCTGGTATAGGACACTCAGTTTCCAGGACAATGCATACATAATTATTCAAGCATGTTTGATTGCATGTTTTACCACCATATTGAATGCCTTGTGATAGGTGTCTAAAGGGTCCCACTGAAAATTAAAGTTCGTGTCAAAGTGTCTATCTGCACAAGCGAGCAATTAGATGGTGTTCATCGCCGTTGATGGCATTGAGCCAATGGTGAAAATGTCACTCATCTCAAGGTGGGTGCCAATCACCCCGAGGGAAACCCCAAATATTGCAACCTATTTCATCAAACCCAATGGAATAATGGGCTGAGTCATACCCAGTATGGCATTTTAATTCAAAGTCTCCCAATTGAACGGAACATCAACCACAATGCAGGCTGAATCTTTATGTATTCTTAGGCCTTGTGGACGTGTTGCACGTCTGCCCATTGTGTTCTGGCCTCAGTGTTAAAGTGGGTGCATTATATCCTTTAAGACTATTTTGTGTGTGTGTTCACGCAATCAATCAGCCTTTAGTGATGAAGCGATAAATGTCACCCACCAGCTCCCCAATGATGGATTTCCCTGTCGATCCTGCTGAGTGGGGCTAGTCAAGACTGCGCCGTCTGTGGACGTCTTCACCTGCAGAGTGCCATGATGGATCAGTGCGATCCTTAGAACCCCCACTGAAGCAGCCTGCTCAAGGCACCTCCTCCCAGGCCCTGTGTCAGCTCTAGAATCACGTAATGCGTGGACAATACTTGAGTAGCGTGCCCTGTCTGTAAGGCAGAGACGGGTGGGTGGGTCAAGGGGGGCTGGTGGCAGCAGATGCCACCCACCCTCGTAAAACACTGCCCGGGTCAGTACGTGGACAAAGAAATCTCACGGGGGGGGGAAAGGCAGAGTAGTGCGTTCCTCTTATGTGCAGCGGTGCAATGTCACACTGCATTACGTGGCTTGCCTGTGCCGATGGGTTTCGCCAAGAGATGGACCAAAACGCCGTATAATTAAGCACGACACAAACAAAATGTCTCGGATGTTTTGTTAAAATGCGACATTTTTGCGGTTTTCTAAAGTGAAGATGCGTGCCTCTACAAAAGGGAATGAATGGGTGGTGTGGTTGTGTCGTGCATTGTTGTATTGGTTAGCTCACTGCGCTATAAATCCAGCGACCTGCGTAAAATTCCCAGTGACGGCTAAATTGAGTGGTGAGTGGCGTCTGATCTCTGGTGCTGAGCTTCCCCCCCCCGTTGCCATCCCACTCTGACCAGCGTGGTGAAGTTTGTCAAAAAGGCCCTGGTGACTGACATAGCATGCTGAGGCCTTGATCTAGTTGGAGATTAACAAAGGGCCGTGAATGATTAAATTAGATGAAAGAGAAAATGTTGTGCTTTAATTTGGTGCGAAAATACTTTGAGGGTAGAAATCACAGATTAATATTTTTTTTTTCTGAGAAAATGTGGTTTATGTTTTCAAAAAGTTAACAATTAAAGCATGCATTATTTCTACCCAAATAACTAATATGCTTGGAAACTATGACTGTTGTTTAGGCAAGTTTATGTTTCATGAGCCACATGGCATCATGACTTAAAACTTTCGTGACTGCAGGAATTAATATTCTTTGGGTCTTTCGGTAAAGACCCAAAGAATATTTGGCTTTACCGAAAGACCCAAAGCATATATATGGCATCATATTTAGATAAAAGCTACAATTTTGCTGTTTTGTTGCCAGAAAAAAGGGGAAAACCTATTCTCATGGAAATATCAGTTTAGCTTAAGATGTGACACTTTTATTGCTTTTGTAATCAATGGAAAATGTAAGTACTATAACCATTCACTAACAATTATTTGAATGTTGTGGAAATTTTAAAACGCCCTGCAAAAAAGTGACTTAAAAAAGTGCACGGATTTTCACGAAGTAAGATTTGCATTACACATTTCCACTTAACGTACATGAACAAGAAAATTAATATTTATTTTGAATTTAGAACAAAAAATTGTAGAGAGCCCCCAAGATAAGACTAATCTTGTCTGTGTGATGCAACCTACACAGACACAATACGCACACTAAATAAGTGCACTTCATTTCCAAGGGAAAAATGAGAGAAATATGTACGGTATTGACCACTACGTACATTGTTAAAAAAGTAACCCGTAAAAACAAAGTTTTTCAATATAAATCCTTTATATGCGTGGCATCGGTTTTATTTTATTATTCATTTCTGTTTTTCTTGAGTAAGAGTTTCATTTTTATCACATTGATATTTTAAATTAAATATGAATTAAAAAAATTTCTAAAAAGTGGAAAATTTTGGAAAAAAATTTTCACGAAAATAAATTGTCACGCACAACGAGTCTGTGTGCAAAATGTCAGCTCGATTGGATCACGGGAAGTGGGTTAAAAAACGACCGAAAGATTTGCACGGTCGTAAGCGCGCAAGCAAGCAAGCAAGTGAACTTAATATAAAGGATTTAAAAATACGATCTTGGATATTTCTATATGTGATAGGATGTATTATTAAAGCCCAGGATAATACCACGTGTGACACGGATTTATACCATGCATAAGGCGTGTGCAAAGTCCACTTCATTCAACACATGTCCACACACCCATAAAGCCAATGGACATTTATTACAATCTTACACACCTACAAATTGGTTCCATACACACATTACAGGCTGTGGCAAATAACGAATTTCATGAAATGCGCTGAGACAAGAAAAATGCGAAGCCCCCATCTAGCCAAATTTGTAAACATTAAACAACATTCTTGTGTACCGCTTCAAAGAGACTCTTTTTTTATGATTTCAATAAATAGTTTTCTGGTTTGTTGAAATAAGTTGATCTCATTTGGCTCGACTTTCTCCATGCAGAGATGGCTAAAAAACGAAATGATTTGCAACTCGCAAAACCCGTGCTGTTTGATGTTGCTGAACTGGGCCGCTGTGAAACACAGGCGAGCCAATGCATGTCCCGCTCTGCACTGCGCCCTGAGTGTTCGGAGTAAAAATCCCGCATCATTGTAAGACGGCTTTTGTCTCTGTGCTCTCGTTTAAAGTAAGAAAAATCAACGCACAAGAGCATCCAATCGCTGCGGGAAACTCGGAATGAACCAATGGGCGCACCGCCAGTTTGATATCAGGGAGGAGAGACGAGGAGGGGAGGGAGCCCAAGTGGGCTTTAATGCCATTACACACATCTGCTCTCACGCATAGCCAGCCACCAGCGGCGGGGCTTGCGCCAGAGGCGGGCTTGACCAAAGTGCATCTCCTCACCACTGCACGGCAGCAGTTGTCACCGCGGCGCAGTCTGCATAGCAGCGTGCATTCCACGGCCCTTGCGCGGTGCATTTGGCCCCAGGAGCTGTCGTCCTCCCGCTACCTTCTCCTCCCCGTGCGCTACAGTTTTCTCCTCGTCTCTCTCTCTCCGCCTGTCCACCTCTCTCGACATGTGGCCCAGAGTCGGGCTGCTCGTCGCCTCGCTGGTGAGTCTCTGGGAGAGGAGTGTGTGTGTGTGTGGGGGGTGTGCTGCTGAGCCGTTTTTGTGCCCTACAGGAGGGATCGCTCGCTCGGGTTCGCGTCCTGGCCACGCACGCGCTTGTGCGGCACGTTGTGTGACTTTGATGAACGGCCGCGCTCGTTTAACGCGCACTTTTGAGACGGAGCGGTAGCACTGGTTTAGTAGGGCTGGACGATTTTGGGAAAATATCCAATTGCGATTTTTCTGACAGATATTGCGATTTGTTTAGCGATTTTTTAAAGTCAAGCTTCAGTTAAATTTTCGCTGTGTAATAGATTTAAAACAGGTGATAGAGCATTAACACATGATACCATCAAAATCTGAACTGCTTTATATTTCTTGATTTGATGCAAGGATGAGAACTTAAAAGATATGAATTGCTTCCAACATGTAGTTATTAAAATGTTTTAATTGAAATAGAACAATCAAACATAGAACAATTGTTAAGTGAAATAAATAAAGTAATAATAATAATAAAAATAAACAATTCCAATAAGAAAGTACTGTAATCGGACTTTTCAAATCACAAAAATTCGCAGCCTTTGTGATTTGCCAATCGCATTGTTTCAAATTGCGATTTCGATTTGAAATCGATTAATCGTTCAGCCCGAGTTTAGGGTACCTTATACTCTTTATTTAACCAGTGTGAGTACAGAAGATGTGAGTTGTGATCTGCATGTACTTGTAGTAGTAGTTAGTGCGTTGCTATAGCACGTGCTTCAATTTACGTATGTTGAACTTTTTTTCGCACCGTACAAAGTCAACCGTGCTAATCGGAGGTGCGGAGAAGGACAACAAACTAAACACAGAGACCAGTGCTCTATTAATGTATACCTGAACTGTAGTTGTAATAATTCTAAACTCTGTACTACTTGATGGCACACTTGATGTGTATATATGCACGAACTACGGTCGTTGATATTTTAGATGCAATGTTTTAACCTACACGTGAAATTATTAAAAAGGGTGGACTTGCGGTAGGGGCTGTAGCGTGGATGCTTGTCATCCCCCAAAACATGCCAACGTTGGGTGTGATTGGAGCCAATATTGTGGCAATAATGTGAGCGCAATTTGGGCCCCATGTTCCATATTTACGGGGATTTAGTACGTGAATTGTGACATGTATATGGGCGTGCGCATATCACAATGACTTAGGCGCAAAATATCGTCAGCAACCTCAAAAGTGAGAGCGCATCTGCGCATGCCATGGCATGTGCGCTGATGAATTATTTCTAGGCCGAATAATAAGTGCTGTTGGGATGATTCTAACGCGAATCTTGCATAAATAACTGCTGGTGTAATGACTTCCGACAACATTTAATTCCAGGAGTTCTTAGGAGATGTCTGATTTTAAGGTCCGCCTGGTGTATGCCACGCATCTTTCTGATGGCCCATTCATTGATCTGCGACGAATATAGTTGTGCCTGCAGATGTGTTGTTCACAGCAACTCACGACTCTTCGCATGTGTTGCGCTGCCAGGTTTGATTTAGGGAATATAATAATCGACGACACATGGAGCAGCCGCCGCAAGGCGGAGAGGTTTTATTTGTCGTTGAACGGTGCTCCGTAGCCTGCTCTGGGAGGCGATTTTATTCACGTTGGGTATCGTCCCGTTTTAGGCGACTCAACGTTTCAAATGCAAGTAAATGCATTGTTTAAAACTTTAAATCACACGAGCCACGACACCGAATACCCCACGCAATTTATAAGTATTATAGTTGTGTACGTGCCGCGATTGTAATGATTACGATATTCATTTTCCATGAAATTCGCGTGAAATTTATTTTACGAATGAAGACTCACATTTCACAAAAGTGGCCTTGGTGAGACGATTTTGTAGTAACGCACTAAGACGGTCACTGCATCGCGCACTTTGAGATGCGCTTCTGCGGCCGTCTGGAACGCTCTTCTTTCCGATATTAGGAAGCCGCTGGAGCTATGCACTTTTAAATCTAGATTAGAAACTAATTTCTTTAGAACTGCTTTTTCTGTTTAGTTTGTTGTCCTTCCCCGCGCCTCCGATTAGCACGGTTGGCTACGTACGGTGCAAAATAAGTTCAACATATGCGCACATCGCGTGCGCGAGTGCATGACAGCACGACACTGAGCCAAGCGTCGATTTAGATTTTGGCATTACAGTCGAAATATTTTTGAAACAAATTTGTATTCTATTTTCGCGAAGAAAAAACACACCTGCGTCGTTTATGCATACTTCACATTGACTCGTAAAGGCTATACATGCGATAGATTAAGTAGTTGCACGTATCAATTTGACCAAATTCGCGAGAATGTTTACAATGGACGGGAATACATTGAGTGCAAGAACAGAGACCCGACTGACACGTGTGAGCAGGAATTGCAAACAATAATACAAAAGTAACACACACGCACAAGATCATAAAGGCAAGAAAAAATAACCGCACTGGCACCTACTCTTTTTTTTTGCCTCGAATTCTCTTGTTTTGTTTTCGTTGCGATGTGAGCGCTGATAGGAGGTGATTACACGTGGCCACATGGGCACAATGAGGCTACGGCGTGACCAATTATGCCGGTCACGGCCTCATTGCGCTGCTGTTGTTGCTCCATCGTTGCTCGGCACGCTGTTTTGATAAGCTCTCTGTGAGCCTCTTAAACGCTCTCGAGTGAGACAGACTGAGGGATGTATAAAATGCCTTATTGTCCAGCACATCAAAGGGTGGTGAGCTTCGGAAAGGGACACAGATAAGCGTGGCTTTTCCGTGCCAATGCACCCGGCCTGGGTGCTGCCCTCCCCTAACGGTTGTGCCCAAGACGATGGGCTGCGAATGGCATTTTGCAGCACGGATTCTGAGCTAACTACCACATTGACTGGCGTTCCTCTGCTCGTAGCTTTGTTTAGTTCCACATTTTAATCGTTTTTACAATAATGTACTGACCTCTCATTTTCACGATGGATACTGAACTTGTTTTTTGCTTCGGTGCACCTGTTGACTTTATTTGTTGTGCGTCGTATAAATATATGTGAATGTGTATTTTTTTATTGAAGAAAAATGTAGCCATCAATATAATTATCCATTGCTACTACTACTTAGGCCTCGAGACCATGTCTTCCAGCTCTCCTTTCGGTTGTAATTTCTTGGGCTCAATTTTGATGCCATTCAAGCACGATATATAGACTCGTGTTCATCAGGTGCAGTTTCAACATAACTTCCTGAATATTTTATTTATTTTTGTCTTTAGTGTATTGTCCTTTTACCGCACCTCCGATTAGCATGGTTGGCTACGTACGGTGCGAAACAAGAACAATGATTTGATTTCATTGGCGAGTGATGACAAAGAACAGGCCTTGATGTGTACACATTGGATACGTGGTTTTCAGTTGGTCCTCTTTCTTGTCACTATTTCACTGAATAATTTCGAGTGGCCCTTTCACTTGACCCTTCTCCCACAGCAGCCCCCACCCCCAGCCGCTTTTCTTATTCCCACACAACCCTTTTCTTTCCTCTATCCCCTTCTACTAACTTGACATTATAAGGTCGCACCCATTACACACAAAGTGCTTGCCACAAATGAACCACAATACCTTGTTGCTCTCGTCAAGGAGCATAGAGCATCGTGCAGACTCCAGTCATCCTCTCAGCGGCTTTTGGCTAGCCATCGACCAAAGAAGGTCACTGCATCACACACTTTCTTCGACCTCCTGGAACGCGCTTACTTCCGATATTAGGAAGCCACTGGAGTTGTGCCAATTTTAAATCTAGACTGAAAACTAATTTGTTTAGAACTGATTTTTTTATGTTTAGTTTGTTGTCCTTCACCCGCAGTTCCAGTTAACTGTTGGTTACGTACGGTGCAAAAGAAGTTCAACATACATACCTTCACACCCCCTTTCACTGTCTGTCCATCTCCTCCTCACTCGCTCGGCTCCTCACTGACTCTTCCCTAATCTCCTGCAGTCTACCTATTCTCTAACCTTCCCCAATAGCTCCCCCATAGAAGGCAGGAAAAGTTATACTGGTAGAAACCACCTGGTTCCACCAGCCCACGGGATTATTGTGTCCGTCCGTCGTGCATCCAAAAATGGGAGGGGTGGGGCTGGGTGTAGAGGGGAGGGTGGGGAGGGGATGGGTGGGGAGGGTGGGGCTGCGTGGGGGGTGGGAGGGGTGGGGCTGGGTGGGGAGGGGCTGGTCACCCCGTGGTGCCCTTATAAAACTCAACGTTTAACCTACTCACGCCGGCTTGTGCCCGGCCTCACAGTCGGCCATATTTGCGGAATACACCACGCCGCCGTTGACCCTGGCCATTGACCGAGCAACCCAACGTTCCTACCAGCTCCCTCCGCAGGAATGTGTTTGTGCAGTGCATTTTTATGCAGACATTATCTTCCAGATTATATTCTTAAAAACTTTGTGGAATGTTAATATAAAGTTTGAGGAGTCTATTATATATACATATGTGTACACAATTGTAATAAAGACTTTGTAAAAACAGCTAATAATAAGCCAGATGGCAATGTTTTTTTTGCAGATTTGTCTTGATGTAATATTTTTCAAGGTACCAGGCACGAAGGTCTTTTAACAAAAAAAATATGCCTCTTCGGAGGGATGAGGGGAGACACACACTCATAGCACTTTGCAGCAGATGAACTGTATAGCTTTGTGCAACTCTACGCGTGGCACGCAGTCCCGCAAAGAGACTTTGGCAAGAAAAAAACCGAGCAGCCCAGCTCTGTGCGTGTTTCTTTTTCACTGGTGCGGGCGAGACACGGGGCGCGGTGAACAGAGACACAGGCGAAGAAGGGGAATCGTACAACGTGGAGGCACGCTGCAGTGTTTTGTTGTAAGTGCTCTGCACGTCGCTTGGTGATGCTGTGTGGGACAACAGAACGCCGGCTAATGCCCCGACACGTTGTTATTTGGGCTCGAGGCGACTGCGGTAGCATTGGCGGGTCAAGTGCAATGTGTTCATTTTCACTTGTTAAGCAAAGAAGTGTTGATTTTGTTCAACTGAAACCAACAAAGTTTGTACAGTACCGTAAGGTCAACTGCATGAAAAGTTGTTGTAGTTTATGCTTTTGCTCTGTAATTGAAGAAACCTTTGAGACTATTTTTTTAAAACCTTGTTTTCTGTTCAAGCAACTGCGGTGGCATTGGCGGTGGTCACACGAGGGCCTGACTCACAACTCGCTATTTGTTTCACAACCCACGTTATTGTACGAGGGCTATTTTAAAATACATTGCTATTTTATATTAACAAGCATCTTTTTGTCAAATATTATAGGGTGTTCTAAAATATCCATATGTGCATTACTAAAAGGCCGCTCTACTTGTATGAACTGCTAGCGAATGATTCAACATTTTGATGAGGTGCAGTACTAAAACGTACATTCAGCACTTAATACTTATTCTGATGTATCACCTTGTAGCAAAAAAACATCCCGATCAATTTAACACGTTGGCCTTCGCCACTAATATTATTCATTATCAAGGTGTTTTGGGTTAGATCGCTTAAATATAAATGTGTCAAATCTTGACTTAAAGTACTCTTTGGGTCTTTCGGTAAAAGTCACGTAGATAGAATAATAATAACAATCACGGCGTTTCGATCGCAACACCTGCAATCGTCATCAGATGAAAAATACAGCGAGAGAGCTGCTGAGAATATAGGAGAATATATATGTGAGAATATATTCTCAGCAGCTCTCCCGCTATATTTTTCACCTGATGACGATTGCTTGTGTTGCAATCGAAATGCCGTGATATTGTTATTATATTTATTATTTGTTCTATCTACTTTTTTTTTCCTGAAAGACCCAAAGAATATTCGTTAACCCACCTCCCAACAAAGCCAATTAGTTACTACTGCAGCACACCAGTGTGTTGGAGAGGAAACCCACAACATTTACAATGTACATGTATTCGATCTAACCCAAAACAAACCTTGATTATGAATCAGAACCCTGATGGTGAAGACCTAAAGCTGTCTGCAAGAACATGCACACCTAGCGTATGATTGTATCCCATTTGTATTGGAGAATATGGCGCCCCTAGTGGATTAAACTAAACTGGAGATGAGCACAAAAACAAGGAGCCCCAAACTCCCGAGGCTAAAATACCGCGCAGTGCAGTGGAGGCGTGATATAGCAAACTTTAAGTAAGCACATGCCAATGAATGATTTTTGTATTATGTATTTTTGTATATAATTCTGTATCGAACTAGGACCCACATTCTAGATTTGAAGCTTTCGTGACTGCAAGGATTCATACTCTTAGGTTTTTTCGGTAAAGTCACGTAGGTAAAAAAATAAAATAATATAAATTTACTGTCATTTAGCTGTGACGGTCCCACCTGATGACGGAGACTTGTGTTGCCTCCGAAACGTCGTGATTTATTATTTTAATTCTATTATTATTTCTATTTTTATTTATTTATTTATTACCTATGTGACTTTACCGAAAAAACCTAAGAGTAGGACCCATATCTTAAAGAGAGGTTCCGCACCTATAACATCTGGCCTTTCATCAGCATTTATTCCAGCAAGCCTGACTGCCGATATGACACCGTATATTGAAACTGATAAGAGTTTGCTCGTATTGAATCAATGCTGCTGAAATTACACGCTCTCACAAGGCACAGGGGCCGATTGGTTGCGTAAATAAACACTTTCACGTGGAAAGATCGAAGTATGAAAGATACCTTATCTGCTTACTATTTGAGTTAAATCGGCAACAGCTCAGTGATAAGCAACACTTTGCTTACATTGCACTGGTGGGGGGAGGCAAAGGGCAACTTCTCATAGAAGCACACGCGGCCTTCCAAGGGCTAAGCTTATATCCAGCTTTTCCTGTCAAAACATTTGAGCAATTCTTGTACATTCAATCGTGTTCAAACTAGCAGCGATGTATTCATGCGCCCCTTTGTGAGCGGAATTGTCGTGCGCATTTGCCCAAAGCCAATGTGAAGTAAACAACGTTTGGTATTGACTACATTACTCACATGATTGATTGCTGTCCGCTCAAATTCTGGAGGGTATATGCCTGCAGATAATACACACAGGGCACTCTATACGCGATGTTATTGTAGCTCGCAAAGCCCAGAGGACTGTTCTCCTAATCAAATTACAGCCTGCTTTACCGTTGTTTACACGTTGCTCCAGTTTGCCTTCCATGGTCTTCGTATTTATCCACGTTGCCTGCACTTACCATAATGAAGGTCTGACCAACTTGTATTGGTATTAAACTGTGTTTCTCTAGTAAGAAAGAAGGTGCTGTTTTTTTCCCCACAGCTCATATAGAAAGGGACTTATTCCCGGTCAATATTCTACATTGCCCTCTCATTGTCAATACTCTACATCATCCTCTCATTGTAAATGTCCCCTCAAGGTTCTGGGCTTGCTGCTTTCAAAGAGAACGTGGGCTCATTTTTTCATTGGCCAGACAGGTTTGGAAGATGTGATAGCCACATCTTCTCACGCGTTAGTCATCTGTAAATTAGGCCACTTCTCGTTTGATTTTGGGTAGGCCGATGCAGAGTTTATTCTACCTTGCTGCATAATACCATAGAGGCAATTGTACAAACTAATGTTGTACAAAGCATCATATTTAGCTCCCACTAAATATTTCATTGACTCTGCTCTCTTTAAATTTAGGCAATCTGAACCAATTGAGAATTCATTTTTGTGGCCAATCCCATCAAATTTGTCAAGGTTTCTGCCACAGGCCACAACTTTAGAGTGTTGGCTTGGCTACCACTGCCTGCTCTGGTAGGCAGTGGTAGCACTATGAATAACATCGCTGATAATGTTTCTACTCAATAAGTCACTTTGTCCGAGCACAACATATTAGCATAACGTGATTGCTGCAGTTTAATGGTGGAGCTGTTCTGGCGAGCAGCAAGAGTTGGCATTGTGTTTACAAATATTTAATTGCTGAAAATTTGTCGTGACGCGCACTGAAGTTGAACATTGGTTGATTTGGGTACAAGTCAAATTCTAAACCCGACACACCCTAAATGTCTCAAGGAGAGACACGACTAACGGTTTTCTGCGCTGCATCATGTTTTACAGGCATGTGGGGCATTCAGTTCATGTCCCAGCAAGACCTTCACAGATGATGGCACATGCTGCTTGGAGTGTCCGCCCGGCATGGGAGTGGCGGAGCCGTGTCAGGGACACAACAACACACAGTGCCAGCCCTGCCTTGACAGTAAAGCCAAACCGCGGACGCACACACAACACACTCTCTCCACCGATGTGGCAAGCGTGCACATTTTTTCCCCTTGGTTTTGTTTGACTGCAGGCTTTATCAGAATGCTGTGGAATACTTATGACACACCTATTTTATTAGCAAATTAGCTATGGTATTCACAAGCCCAATTTCACCTATTTGTTGCTACATGCAGTATTCGAATTTTACTGCTAGAAAAAGGAACACGTGGATCGCGGAACAAACACGAATCAGAAACATATTGAAAATTTAGAGAGTACAATCGGACTGGGCAGAAAACATGACGAGACAGGATGATGGCACATGGATAAGAATGGTGATTGCGTGCCAGCCAACGAAAGGAATGCGTCACGAGGGAGTTGACCATCATAGAGATGGATCGGATGAGATCAGTTTATGTGCAGCAGATGGAATCTAGCAACACTGAACCTTGAGAGATGGCGACGGCATGGGTAGACCTTTATCCAGCAGTAGATAGACAATTTATAATTATGATTAGTGGATGTAATTTGTTTTTAGCATTATAACAATATAACATATAAAATAACGGGAGACAGTGGATTGTTCTCTCCAGGTGAGGAGGGAACAGCTACCCTTAGTGGAGGAGATGAAGTACCTCGGGGTCTCTTTCACGAGTGATGGTATAAGTAGGAGTGGGAAATCGGTTCGGCAGATCGGTGCAGCGTCCGCAGTCTTGCGGGCGATGTGCCGTTCCGTGGTAGTGAGACAGGAGCTGAGTTCTCAAACAAAGCTCTCGATTTACAGGTCGATCTACGTTCCCACCCTCACCTATGGTCATGAGCTTTGGGTAATGACCGTAAGGATGAGATGGCGGGTACAAGGGGCCGAAATGAGGTTTCTTTGCAAGGGTTGTCGGGCTCGCTCTCCGTGATCGGGTGAGGAGCTCGCTAATCCGTGAGAGCCTCAGAGTCGAGCCGCTGCTCTTCCGGATCGAGAGGAGACGGTTCGGCCACCTGGTGAGGATGACCCCCCAGTAGACTCCCCCTGGAACTCTACTGGGCAGTACGTCCCACAGGGCGAACACCCCGAGGCCAGCCAAGGACATGCTGGCGGGACTATGTCGGCCTGAGAACACCTGGGAATTCCTCAAGAAGAGCTAGAGTCTGTGTATTGTAGTGTATAGTAGTGTATAGTGTCGTGTATAGTAGTGTATAGTGTATACTAATGTAAAGCTTGAGTCTGTGTATAGTAGTGTATAGTGTATAGTAGTGTATAGTGTCGTGTATAGTAGTATATAGTAGTGTATAGAGTCTGTGTATAATAGTGTATAGTAGTGTATAGAGTCTGTGTATAGTAGCGTATAGTGTATACTAATGTAGAGCTAGAGTCTGTGTATTGTAGTGTATAGTATATAGTAGTGTATAGTGTCGTGTATAGTAGTATATAGTGTATACTAATGTAAAGCTTGAGTCTGTGTATAGTAGTGTATAGTGTATAGTAGTGTATAGTGTCGTGTATAGTAGTATATAGTGTATACTAATGGGGGGCTAGAGTCTGTGCATAGTAGTGTATAGTGTATAGTAGTGTATAATGTATAGTAGTGTATAGAGTCTGTGTATAATAGTGTATAGTAGTGTATAGTGTATAGTAGTGTATAGTGTATAGCAATGTAGTGCTGGAGTCCGTCGCCAGGGAAAGGGAGGTCTGCACCGCCCGACTCAACATGCTGCCGACGCGACTCTCGCTAGGGCGAGCGGACTGAGAAACGAACGAATGGGAGTTGTGTACAGTATATAGAATTTAAATAAATAACATTATTTGTTAGTATGATATTCTTGGTTCTTTCGGTAAAGTCACGTAGAAGCAAAATAATAAAATAATAAAAATAAAACATAATATAACGTTTTCTTTTTATTATTTTATTATTAAAATAAAACGTAATATTACGTTTTATTTTTATTATATTTTATTTTTATTATTTTTATTATTTCCCTTCTACGTGACTTTACCGAAAGAACCAAGAAGATGAATCCCTGCAGTCACGAAAGCTTTAAATGTTAGTATGATGTTTATCTCTTATACCGTTGCTGTGTCTGTATGTCTGTGTGCATGCAAATCGGCTTTGGAACGTTATACCCCTAACCTTTTACTGTTCTCAAAAATGGGGTCAGCTTTCTGATATTCAAAAGCCCCCTTGGTATTTGTGCTCATACATTTGGCGTTGTCTTTTTGTCACATCTGTTAGGGTGTTTTTCTTTTGCATATACAACACATATGACATAGAATTGGCAAGGGGACACGTGTATTATATGTGTCCACATGAATGCAATCTTAAGAAGACTAAAAATGTTGCTATTATTCGATGCAACTTTTCTTCATCTGCAGTCTATTGCTTGGATGTTTCGCTGAATTTGTTAATTTCATGGCTTCACCCATGCCGATTAAGCCAAGGCCCTGTTGCTAAGAGAGAGCCTTAAATTGACTGTAGCCAGAATAGTGATTTGGCCTCTCTATGACCTCACCAGAACCAAATTCCCTCAAGTGGCTGGTGTGTCAGCCCGAAGGAATTAATCTTTTGAATGTGTTACATTTACGTCATTTTGTAAGAATTGTGTACGTTCATCAGACATGCGTTGACATTGCATACATATTCATAAACTACTGTACATCGAATTCATTCTCACACTGGATAGTTACACATGCTCTGTCTGGGTTATTAAGCCTTTGTTTAATTACTTACACCCACAATCTGTAAATGTATGCGTGTAGTGTGGCATACGATTAAATAAATGAGCAAGTCAGACGAATGCCCCTTTAGGAACAAAGACGAATTGAAGCAATAGTGCACCTCACAATAAAAATGCCGATCAGCTGAAATGATTTTTTTCCATCACAAAGAGTCTGCAGTGTGCATTTTGATAAGCGGATATGCTGTAATTATAAGTTTAGGATGAACAAAAAGTGACTGATTTGACAGATGTGCACAATTGAATTATTGGACTGGTAGTAACAAGACAAAAATAGTACAATGGGTCATGATCAAATTATCCACATGTCCTGCCATGGCCTGACATGACTGCCGAGCAAAGGCAGTAGCTCGCAAAGATGGAATGATTCACATCCCGCTCACACCCACCACCCCCCCCCCCCCCCAATTGGTTGTGACGATTTAGAGAACAGTATTGTAGCTACTCGATTATTCAATGTTTTAACGTAATATTTTTTTTACATCTTTTTGAATCTCATTGCAATCGTTCTGGTTTCATTCATTAGCCTAAATATTGCATAACATGAATATATTATTTGCACATCAATTTTATAGTCAAAATATCCCATTCCCATACGAATGATTCAGTGCATGTATATCGAATGTGGGAATGTATGTTACACACACATAGTAGCCGCTTATAGAGGACATATGAGGGAAATGGTTTGTTGTAGAAATGCACGCTCAAAGTTTACACATCACAACACTCTCCGAACGGTCAGAGGTTTTACCCGCTATTTTACAATAATTGCAATCTTGCTTCATAGCGTAGCTACCATTTACTGTACGTACAAACATGATTGAATTCCCTTTGGATTACATAGAAAATGCAATACCCTCATCAGAATCTAAAGTTAAAATAATATTACAATCTATTGGTATTGACACGTATGTTCATATTCTTAGGCTTTTTCGGTAAAGTCACGTAGGTAAAAACATGAAAAAGTAAAATAAAATAAAAATCACGACGTTTCGGAGGCAATACAAGCTTCCGTCTTCAGGTGGTACCGTCACAGCCACGACAGCTGTATCAAGTAAATGAGAGATTGCAGGAGCTACCACTCCGTTTATTTACTTGATACAGCTGTCGTGGCTGTGACGGTTCCACCTGAAGACGGAAGCTTGTGTTGCCTCCGAAACGTCATGATTTTTTTATTTTATTTTACTTTTTAATGTTTTTACCTACGTGACTTTACCGAAAAAGCCTAAGAATATGAATCATTGCAGTCACGAAAGCTTCAAATCTAGAATTGACACGTATGTTGCTAATCGTGTATGTTGTTATTTAAAGTGCAGATGTCCCTTCATCTGGTCCGGCAGCATCAGGAAACTGACAGTCTTGTAATTTGAAACTCTCTTTGGTCACGCTATTTTAGGTAGATTTAAATAATCTGACCAAAAAAACCGCAATGCAAAATGAAGTATGCGTACACTTACGTGTACCATACATATTAAGTTATAATCACACGTGTGAGCTTAATGGTCCTGATATTATTAGACCCAATGAGAATGGAGGACATTTTCTAAATGAGCGAGGGGCCATAGTGTTGACCTTTGCGCGTGCCATATTAGAGGGTAATGGAGTATTGATTGAGTTGTAGTTTTCCTCGGAGCTGCTGTTTACAGTCAATGCGCTGATCAGTGTCATTCGAACATTCCATAGGCATAACTCCATTTGAGTATATCAATATATAATGCCCTACAGAAAGGATTTGACATTAACACTGATTTATTGCATGTAATGTTACGTGAGAGTGGTGAAGGGGTACTAAACCTGCGTTGTTAGAATATGCCTACATGCGTAACGGTATCTCATTGCCATCATACTTTTCAGTAATTTCTTTAAACAGTCTCACAAGTGTCGTGAAAAAAATACTCTTATGATTGCCATTTATTGCATTTTGATGTCCAGTGCTACACTTTGCGACGCAACAATTGACCTCAGAATTTAGATTTTTCTATGAGTAAGGTAAATGGGTTTGCATCATTTTCCCTAGCAGTGGCAATTGGTCAATCATATTTTTTTCTGACTGTTTTAATTTCCTTCAAAGCAATCCCTTTTGGCGATGAAATAGTTTTGCGTTGTAAGCCGTGACACGGAGATTGTTTCACTCGGCACCCAATGGAATGCATTTCCTTTGTGATTGGAATCCTCTTAGATTTAAATATATATATCGCTGAACACAGATGGGCTGAAAGTACTTGCAAATAATATAAGGCACAATGCGGATGAGAAAAATAGAGACTGAGATTAAAAAGCCCACCATTACATAACAGCTGTGACATTATATTCTTGGTTCTTTCGGTAAAGTCACGTAGAAGGGAAATAATAAAATAATAAAAATAAAACATAATACAATTCTCACGACGTTTTGGCCACAACGCAAGCAGTCGTCCTCAGGTGAAGAACAGAGCTGTCGGAAAGACAGCGTCCTCATGAACACTGCTAAGCTTGGCAGCGTATTTTAAGCTGGGTGGGAGGAGGAGAGCGCCTTGACAAAGGAGTTTACATATCAACAGGGGAATTGTTTTTCTGACTGTTTTAAGCTGTGACATTACCACAGCACTTCTGTCAGGTGAGGTGCACTTTGAGGCTACTTTGGCTGGCTCGCTTGCAGGGCAGGGGACAGAATCAGATATTCGGGGTGAACTTCACTCGGGTGATTGACCTGCACTCCCCACCGTGCTAGCTTGTGTTATAGCCGCCCAATGCTCTGCCCACCAACTCATCGTTGCAAGCGCATGCACTTGCAATGGTCCCTGCCAACACCACACACACGCATCACTCACTGCCAGTTTTACGCAGCCTATTCAATCCATAAACCACGAAAGTTAAACTGTGCCTCTGCTCAAGTTTAATGAGCAGCGTGCACTTAAAACACAGTGCCGCTTTACAAAAGCGCCCGTGTAATGAGGAATCTTCATTGCAACCGCGTCTTTGTTTACAAGGGAAGGTGGAGGCATGGAAAACGCCCGAGTGAGGGGCATGACACCATCTTACACAACACTTTTAACACAATTTACACGTGACACAGAATGAGTAACAATGCCATCTGCTTTTCTACATCACGCATTTTGCTCTCGCCTTCAACTGTGTATATGAGGACGGGGCTGCAGCTCCCATAATTTTCATTTTCCATTTCATCCAGCCCCTTCAAGCATTTAAAAAAAATTGTTGACTTAAATAACAATTTTGCAGGAGTGTTGAGTCCTCAAGCCCTCGACCCGCCAACACAATAGGACTGCTTAATCTTATGTATATATTTCACCGTACATAGCTAACTTTGCAAAATGGAGATGCAGGGGAAGGACAACAAACTAAACACAAAATTCAGTTTTAAAGAAATTAGTTTTCGATTTAGATTTAAAAGTCTATAACTCGAGTGGCTTCCCAATATCGGAAGGAAGAGCGTTCCAGACGACCGCAGAAGCGCATCTGAAGCAGCGCGATGCTTTGACCATCTTTGTTCGATGGCTAGCCAACAGCCACTGCCGCGAAGAGGACCGGCGTTCACTTGATGGCTTTACGCTCCTTGACGAGATCAGCAAGGTATTGTGGTTCATTTGTGGCTCGCACTTTGTGTGTAATGAATGCGAACAATTCATTGCCTCCCCCCCCGTTCTGCCATCTATTCCCCACGCCCGTGCAGGCGTGACGTTCTCTGCCACAGAGAGCCACGTGGAGGAGTGCGTGCCCTGCTCGCTGTGTCCCGCACGGATGCGCGTGCATGCGCCCTGCACCAGCACGGAGGACACGGTGTGCGAGTGCAGCAGCGGGCTGTTCGCGAACCCGCAGGATGGGGCGTGCATCGAGTGCCACGTGTGCCCGCCGGGCTTCGGCGTCGTCGTGCAGTGCTCCCCCGACGAGGACTCATCGTGCGCGCCCTGCATGTCCGGCTTCTACTCGGAGGAGAGCAGCGATGTGGAGCCCTGCATGCCGTGTTCATCCTGCTCCGAGGACCAGGAGGTGCAGCAGGAGTGCACGAGTAGCGCAGACACCAGTCTGCATAGGTGAGGCCATGGGTGCACTAAGCGCTAATTGAATTCCTACTCCATGCAAAAAGCTTTTGATTCAAATAATACATTTATTTTTTCATTGTAATTCCTCTGCTGGCTTCGTTGTTTCATATGCACATATGTACGTTGAACTTCTTTTGCACCGTACATAGCCAACCGTGCTAATCGGAGGTGCAGAGTTGTGAGATAACGAAGCCTACATAGCTTGTCCAGCACGTCACGTTTGCAGTCACGTGGCACACCTAAACATGATCTCTGTCACCCCAAATGGGCTTTGTCCCCCACTGGGGGAGTCCCAGGCTTGTGTGTTCTCTGTCCTCTGCACGTCAATGCCTCACTTAGAGGGAGAAGCACATGCCACACATACAGCATACAATTTAGTAAATGGAGGATAATCCATAATTATAATGCGCAATATACTTTTCACACAAAACAAGACATTTTACATGTGTGGTTCATTTTCAATGTTGTCGGGCTATGTTTTTTCTTGCTCACATGATCAACAGAGTGCTTATTTCCACTGGTCATCTTGAGCCGATGGTGACATTTCCACATTCCTGTAACAGGATCCATTCTTTCGCCAGGACAATACAGTGCAATAATCTTTTCACTAAGGGTCTTTTATTTATCAATTACCAATGGCTGAGTCAAGCGACATTTGAACCTACAACCTTCCATTGGTGACTTGGGCACTCGACCCACAGCAACCACCCAGCCATAATGAAATTAAAGGAAAATGGAGTTAGCCTTAGCTGATTCAATGCTACCTTGCTTATATATGGCAAGACAAAAAAAAACCATTTAAATAATGTAGAATTATTTTCATATTTTGTTAATACTGTGTTCATCTCTATCAATGCCTCTTTTCAATAACTGTGTGTGATTAACGCGTGAATAAAGGCGTTAAAGTTAATCTAAACTGGAAATGTTACATTTCAGATGTTTGCCCTCAGCACTTTTTATAGCTCATCAGAGACATGTATTGTATATGCATGTGGTCAGACATTGCATCATCGTGCTAGAAACACGGTATTTCTATCTTGGCTAAACACAAGTCTATCTATGTGCAATACTGGGGGAGAAGGAACAGCTGTATTTTTTAGGTCACTTTCAGGCATGACCTTCAACATAAAACAGCTCATCTGTAATACATTCAATACAGCTTGCAAACAGCGGTGTTGATGGCAAAATGTCTAATGCATTTGTCATTCACTGCAGAGAAACTAAAGTGGCACTTCCATTAATGTCAAGATACGAAACAGGCACGGACAGTGGAATCTCAGGCAGTTTTCACGCACCGGCTCTTATTTAAAAGTGGGCAGCTTGGACAGGGTGGATTTTTTTTCCCTCTTTGCCATGTGGATCAATTCCAGGACGCCAACGTATATGTCATTGATCATCATTAGATAGCTCACATCATCGCACAGCACATGTGGTCAGCTCGGAATGCACGTGTGGTTCGTGGATCTATTGCTAATGCATTGCATCTGTTTTCATCAACCTTTCTACGACTTATAGTAGCATGCAAAAAAATATCACGATTAAAGAGAAGCTATTTCTTCAAATAGAAATCATCATATTTTCAGAGGTCAATTGCACCTGTGTGTGTGATGCTTCTTGCCTGAGCAATGGCCACCGTTCGTGGAAGAGAAGCGTGCTGAAGCTTGAGTGATGTTTGGGAAATTGTGACATCTCCCCTAGGTCTTCTGTATTCTCCGTGGCAGATGTAGAAAATAGGTTCAGTGCAGTTAAGCTATAAATCATTGCATTCAGTTTCAATTCGTTGAGTGAACACGTTGGTAAACCTGATGATATCACCGTGCCTGCTTAAAACGCAATCTTGTCTCAAAAGTAGAATGACATATTACGAAGAACATTGCGCTCGTAATTAGCATTTGCTTCGGATTGAGTGATAGGGAAGTGTAGTATGATGGGTGGGATGGGGCTTTCGCACAGAAAAGAGGGGGCTAGCCAAAGAAAATATTCTAGCTTCCTTCGATATTGCTCAATATTGCTTAATTGTGGCTGGTTGGCTCATTTCAATAAGTGGATCCTCAAAGGAATGAGCTGCAGGATTGAACCCTCTCTCACATGCAACACAGATTTAAAAAAAAAATCATTTTTGGTCACAGTTCAATGAAAACAACTGATGTCTCTGTTATAGATTTATATTTACGTTATGGTGTGAAACTGTAGCAAATACACACACAATTGTTGACTAATATTGGTTAATAAATAGACCCAGAAGTTATCAGTGACGACATAACATGAAATGACATCAGAGTGTAACAAACATTAATATGCCTTTGTAGCTTCATGCCAGATTCATTTGTCTGCGGAACATGGGAGCATGGGAGCATATGACAAGTCGTTTTTGATCATTACTTACAAGACAATTTTCCAAATTATAAGCCTTGTGTGTTATTAAATAGTGATCTTAACAGTTCCACTTCCCATGCGGTTACTGAAAATTCAGTACAGTATATGTACAAATTCATTCCACATTCAATCACACAAGTTGATAAAAACACAACTATTGCAGTCAACGATCTGCATATACATTCCGATGCTGAACGAAGCCTCTGAACAACCTTTATTCATAGTTGCTGTGTTACTGCAAACATGTTTTATGAATGAACAGTTAAAGGCTGCGAATAATACCCAGTGTGTGGCCAGTAGTTCAAAAAACGATTCATGATGATTTATTTCACATTTGAGGAAACTCTTTCAGTAACGTACCATATGAAGGTTCCTTTTTACAGACTCAAACCAAACGTTAACAACAGTAATAAGCAAGAGACAAATGTGGTCGTTTTTTTAATGGAAGAGCGTATTTAAAGTGTCCATACATTTCATGTTTTTTTATTTAAATGAAACTAGTTTTTTTTGTTTAGACCAATATAAATCACAAAGTTGATTACACTGATATTTGGAATGATTTTATCAGTCAATCTCCATCGCTCATCTCAGTGTTTCCACACCCACAAGTGTGTGTTTACAAGTGCGGAATTTATCTTGGCTTTACAGAAAACATAACCATCGTAAATGCATGATATATATAAACAAAGCACAGACTCGTGACACAAGGAAGTCTCCATCGTGTCTATGTCGACCAGCACAGATGGACACCAGGACAGATGCTGTCCGTTATGTTCCATCACCTCTGTGCACGCTGGCTTGACTCTCCGACCCGAGCTGGAGTGAGGTCGATGGTTGTGCGTCGTTGCCTTCTGTTAGTATTGCTTCTCAGATTACGTACAACGCTGCTTTTGATCAGGCTAATGAGCGACTAACAGCGTTGCCGTTAAATGCATACGGACAGGACCTTGAAGCCTGATTCTCTGTGCTTGCAGGGATGAGACTTCAAGCCCATTCATTGTTTAGAGTGACGTGCCCCCTGGGCAATGGTCTCTGACTCACAGATGTGCCCTTATAACTTGAGCCTCCTTGCTTGGGATGACCAGAGCTGACTGAAGAAGAGAAAGCCCTTTCACAGGATTTGCTTATAGGAGCTATCTTATAATGATCTGAGAAACTCAATGCTGAGCCAGATCCTTTGAAAAATATGCTTTCCATTGCCTAATAATATGCACATTTAGTATTTTGTGGTATGGGAAAAAACAAGCCACTTTTATATGCCCAGAAAATAGATTTTTAAATGGAATTAAATAGGTTTGTTCATTTAAGATTTCATATAGTGAACGCATGCCTTAAGAAAATCACGTGATACGAGCTGTTTTTTTATTGTCTTACCCCAAATGTTTTTCCCAATAGCTAAGACCACTCAGCTATTAAGTTTTATTTCAACATGGTCAGTTCCATCCCTCACTGTAGCCAATGAGCCCAGACCGGATAACTCGCTTGCCAGTCACACCTGAGGTGTCAAAACTATCGTGGTTCCAATTTCTTTATCTGGTCAATAACGCCGGGATTACGTCATAACTATTTGAAATGAGTGTGTTAAAAATAAGTCACTCTTATGAGCCATACAAATAAATCGGTAATATTAAAGTGTTACAACCTTGCTCATTACCAACTTCTACTCTGGCCCATTGGGCTGTATTAAAATTCCATTGCAACTGGCCATATTTACCACAAAATGTAGACAATCACCAGAGGCACTCTTTTGGAATGGATGATGGAAAGTGTTTAATTTTAATCTGGGAGAAGGAAGAAGGGAGGAGGTAGAAATTGAGATCTTTATTTGACAGGTATGGGCGGAACACTGAGAAAACAAGTTTTTTTCATTCGGGTATTTGATTTTTGTGGGGAGCCTCAGGGTTTGAGTTGATGACCTCACCGAGACGTCCAGCCAGCCCTGTAAGAGGTTTTATTTCATATTACGGTAATTAAGAAATTATATATGGCTAATGTGCTAGTTCTGATGCTCTGTCAAATCAGTTCGATACAGCGTGAGTCTAAAATTACGGTCGTCAGCTCTAAGACTTCGGATGCGTTCACATCGCACCAAGATGGAAATTGAACGTCATAAATCAATACTCTTCTGAGTATTGAATTCACATTCCGATTGTTTCCATCAAATTAATACATACACCAAACGCCGATTGCCATTAAGTGACGGTGGCATCACTACAGTGCTTGTGCCAGGCTAAGTGCACCTTCAAGCCACGTGACGAGCATCTACTTGTGTATCTGGTTAGACTTTGGATAGTGACTGGATGTAAATACTGGTATGATAAGTGAGGTGCTAGGAGGGCCCGCACCATGCCATGCTACATTTCTCTCACCAGGGTTGATGTAGACAGACTGCATCACGCACTCATTCTGCCCTGGGCCAACCTAGATTAGGTCTGGGCCAGTTTCAGACGTGACTTGCCACTTACATCTATGGCCAAATATCAAACAAAGACAAAGATCCCTCGTATAGCCTTAACAGACTGTTGGGGCAAGTGCTGTTAGCGAACACCAATGAAGGCAGGCACGGCACATGAGGGTGTGGGTGGCCAGCATTATGCCCGGCCGCCTTTGTCTCCCTAGTGGTGATGTTTACACACCACACTAGGTACTAATTTGAGGCTGAATCGACCTAGAGGAGGCCCATGACCGGTTCAGATAATTGTCGCTAGTGTTGGCCATGAGCGGAAGTCGAACTCGGGTATCTGCGTTCGCAGCACAACACGCTTGCCGCTGCTCCACCGCTCCCCACAAATGTACATATTTAAACTTTACACAAATAAACATACACATTAAAAAACGTATTTAATATCGAGAGGTACTGTTTTTAATGGATTACCCTCTTATGCGAATAGTGGCTTTGAGCCTACGAATGTAGGATTGATATGAAAATATACACAATGGTATAATTTACTGCGCATTTATACCACAACCCTCACAATTCTACACGGGTAACCGTCCACAAAATGTGGGTGATATTTTAAAACTTTTAAGTGTTAAATGTCCGGCATTAGTTTAAATAAAAATGTTATTGTCATACACTGCACACTTATAGATAAATAAAACGTCAATAATATGTAGAGAGACTATTTAGGGTTAAAGAGAGATAACATGGGACCTTTTTTGCCAGTGTCAAAGTATGAAAAAACAAGAATTTGTTTTACCCTTTCTGGAAATCAAACATGCGTTAAGATGTTCAAACACCAAATGGATACCTTTGGCAAGGAATCGTGTCTGCATATTTGGTGTTTGAACATATTAACACCTGTTTTATTGCCAGAAAGGGTAAAACCAATTCTTATCTTTTCATATTTTGATACTGGAAAAAAGGTCCCATTTGTAGATGCTCACCCCGAGATATAAATTCCCTGGTAGTGCATTGTCTTTGTGCTGTTCGCCTTTTGGCGTTCTCTGGTTTGACACTGGTGAGACTAGGCCCTAAAGAAAGCTGTCTCTGGTGTAGACCAATCAGTTTCAAGGACAATGCAGAGCATGTTTTGTTTGCATGTTCACCACAAGTATTGTGTGGTTAATGCAGACATGATTCCTTGAAAAAGGTTTCTATTTGGTGTTTGAACATATTTTAAACACCTGTTTAATTGCCAGAAAGGGTAAAACCTATTCTTATTTTTTCATTCAAGGTGAGATAGGTGTTAAGTGGGCCACAGCAGCTGAAGAATCCTGTGCAGTGATTCACAGCATGGGTTCAGGGCTGGGAGGGTGGCATTAGCGCTACCTCAGTGAAATCAAGCTGATATGATACTCCCACATGACTTTTGTCATTGTATTTTAGGTGCTGTATCCGGCAATGACAGCACATGTTCCACAATGTCCTCTTCTTCTGCTTCCCCCCCCCCCACCAACCCCGCATCTAGGCCCCTACAGAGACGCTTATATGGCTTTGGATAAGCGATGTACATTCCTGATGTGATTTCTTGCCAAAAGACCCGCCTCCTTCCATTGGCAGATGTTTTGCAAATCTTCCAAAGTGGATGTGACAGCTTGATACAGGGTGATGTGTGGTGCACAAGTAGAATCCAACACACAGCCAAGGGTTAGGCGTGTGTGGAAAATAAACTGCACTCCAATTATCTCTCAAAGGGGGTCCTGGTCTAAGGAGTTAATAGACACTGTCGCAGGATGTGCCAGTTGCTATTTTGTATCAGGATAGAGTGGGCTTTAGAGCAGCATGCCTGTATCTAAGTCTTGGCACTCGATGAGATTTGATCTGCCAACACGTGTGCCCACTCGGTCACCTGCCAGATTGCATGTGAATACTGTGATATACTAGCCCCATAAGAGTTGTGTGCCTTTAGCTCCAATAGTGCACGTGCGTTTATGTTCGCATTAGTGGAAACAAGAGTTGATTGACAGTGGCAAGTTTTGGAATGATTTATATTGGTAAAAGTTAAGATTGATTTATACTAAACGAATTGAAATTGTGGTTCTTCACAAGTATATATTTTTGTGTAAGGTCTTACACTACAAGCCTTTAACATTATCTTACAGAATTATTAGGCTTAACAGGTTGACCCTCGAAATACATATCAAATAGGCGAGTTAATTTTTATAAACAAATGTCAACATTGACTTATATTGTGGGAAATATCCTGAAGGAATGTTTAATATCGCAATTTTCTCTTGCATTTGCATGGGTCTAAAGTGTCAGGTAATGAACAGGATATATCACAAGCCAGAGGGTTGGACTCTTGAATGCAAGCCATAAGTTCAATTCCTGGTCAGGGTGAGCGCAGCACACCTTGCATCTGGACTTGGTAAACAGATAATGAACACCAGTTGTTAGAATGCCAACAGCAGTTTTCCTATGGAGGCATTGATCTCTGCCATAAGAAAATGGAATCACTGGCTCTGGACAGGTTCCCTCCGTTATCAGCAGTGTACAGCACTGCTGGACTCTGTACGATCGTGTAAATATGGACGAATTGCACTGCCTTGTATGTAGGTGCCATGTCCATACAGGAAATTAGCCATGGCACGAGCCGTACTACTGCCAAACTCCCTGATGCAAGCCGGCTCACTTAAGCACGCAGTTCTTCTCAATGCTGTGCTCCCACATGTCAGGCTGTGAGCCCCCTCCTGCATCCTCCCGTAACCTTCAATGCGTGAGCTGACATGTGATCAGGTAGTCGCTAATAAGTGCAGGTGGACAAGTTGTCATTCTAGTTTCCTAAAGCTTCGCAGAGATTTTTCTGAGACTAAAGTGGGTCCCTAAAGGGTTCCAACACGAGCGTCTTTTTTTCCATTTTAAAAGCAAATGCGCATCGATTTGTGTTGCTGTTGGTAATATAGGTTTAGATTGTGTTGGTGATCAATTGTCCTACAAGACCACAATATGAGAACAATCATCGAAAACGGCTGTTCTTTAAGCAAACTTTTATTGAGGCTCCTCATAAATATGTATAAGATCAACGATGTTTATAGATAAGAGTTTGGTGCTCAAAAGTTATATGATGTGCTTGGAAAAAAGTGGGAAAATATGAAAATGCAGAGCACATGGTGAGAATTTTTCGAAAATATGCATTGTGTTTTTCAGAAAACGCACAATATAAGTGTTTATTCCATTCACTCCAGACGAAATGGAATTTAAACATACGATCTTAATTATCCTATTTGCAAATGTAATAGATTCTTACCGTAACAATGGCAGCATTCTTCATTATTGCTGATTGAAGTATGGTACAAAATGTGCATATATTTCATAACCTGGATTTATTATCCAATAAATAATGGCCATAAGTAAACGTTTAAATTAAAAACTAAATATGGCACGCCTACTCACAGTAGTTATTTTCATTATTTTATTGCTGCAATATGAAGAATGCGCCAATTTGTATAAATCTTACAAAAACAAGTTCACCCTGAATTTATAACATAAAGTTCATGGCATAACAACATTGTATTGAACAGTTAAGCTTTGCTGGCCCATTTCCACTCACTGCTGGACGTTAACCAATGCGATATTTTCATGACTTCTTGATATGATTTTTAAGGTTCAGGAATTTGATTGTGTTGTATCACTCATACAGCTCATCTATACAATGGTACAATTACAGCGTGATCATCTTTGTGAAGCCCTGGCGGTTAATTTGATGGCCAGACTGGATAACTGCAGGAATTAAAATTACTGGGCTCACAAGTCTCAACAAAACTGTGGATGTGTTTTGGCATATGGTGACAATGAGACGAAAAATATGGGTCCTTGCGGTGGAAGCATTTGAGCGGTCTCCTTTGCCCGCAAAGTATAAAAAAAACCCAACAGTCTAATAACTGTACAGCATGCCATTACAAACAGTTGTGACATTATTATTAAAACTTTAAAATAAATTACAACATTTTTTGTAATTTACCAGGTAAGGCCCACTGAGCTCTGTAGCTATTTTTTTAGAAGCCACCTGACTATCACAAATCATAGCCCTACAAAGTGGCTTGTCACGTGGCAATTTATAAGCAGTCAAATACTTTATGAACGAATGTTGATTCTAAACGTGGAGGGTGGTTTACCCAGAGAAAAATCCACGCGACCACGGGAAGAACATGCAATCTCAAAATATACAGGCGTCAGGGTCGGGATCGAACCAATGACCTCTTGTTTACCCGGTGAGGGAGTTAACATACCATCACGACGGCGTGGTTTAAGGGCGTGTTCGTGTGAATGCATTTGCGTGCGTATGTGCGGCTGTGTATTTACGTGGTAGATCGTAGTAGAGTCCAAGTAAGTTAAACTGTTGTATCATCACAGCAAACCTGGTTCAATCCCATACCCTGCAAAATGACTGTGGAAATTGTAATCGAAATCTGATGTAAATACCTAGTTAGGTGCATCAGACATCAACACCAGGAAGAACAGGTGGGAGAGTGTGGTGGTTCGCGGTCACATGTTATCATCGTGTGACATTCCAACCACAATAGGTGCCTTTTAAAAACAGTATCAAGCGGTGATTTGTGTACATAGGTCTCCGTGTAAATATAGAAAGTGCTCAAAGTAGAGATGGAACTGTGTCATATACTCTATTTAGTTTTACATTGAAAACTAATTTCTTTAGAACTGCTCTTTGTGTTTAGTTTGTTGTCTGTCCCACTGATTAGCACAATTAGCTACATACAGTGCGAAAGAAGTTCAATATACAAACAGACAATCCTACACTGTGTGAACGTCATGTTAAAAATAAAACGTATTAATGTAGTGATATAGTGCCAAGTCATGCCTTTATTTTTTATGATTCTAACATGAAGAGATGAGCGATCTCAATTTAACTAAACTATGAACTTAACACCACATTACTGTATTGTACAATACAGTAATGTGTTACTTCGAAGCAATCCAGTCACAATGTAGATTGTCACAATAAAGGCAGTGCCAGACATTTCCAAGTGTTCAATACATTCAACGTGTGGCACCCTATTACAAAGTCAAATAATACTGCATCCACATTTCTCATATCTGGATCTTATTGTACTCTTGAAGCTAAAAATGTCCCAGGAAAGACCAAATATAATTTTCGATTTAAAGCTTTCGTGACTGCAGGGATTCATCTTCTTGGTTCTTTCGGTAAAGTCACGTAGAAGGGAAGTAATAAAATAATAAAAATAAAACATTTAATTTTATTATGTTTTATTTTTATTATTTTATTACTTCCCTTCTACGTGACTTTACCGAAAGAACCAAGAAGACCAAATATAATTGTTGACAGTTTATACAGCTATTTTGTGAAAGATAATAACAATAATACTGAAAACAGGTTACATTAGTCATTTAGAGATATGTATTAGAGGTATATTCTTAGGTTTTTTCGTTAAAGTCACGTAGGTAAAAATTTAAATTTAAATTAATAAAAGTAAAATAAAAAAAATCACGACGTTTCGGAAGCAACACAAGCTTCCGTCTTCAGGTGGAACCGTCACAGCACGCTTGCTGTATCAAGTAAATGAGAGATTCCAAGAGATACTACCCCGTATATATACTGGTTGAGGGGGGGGGGGCAGGACAGGCCCCCTTTTATTATAATGGTAATATTATATTATTTTTTATTTTATTTTTATTTTATTTTACTTTTATTAATTTTAATTTAAATTTTTTACCTACGTGACTTTACCGAAAAAACCTAAGAATATGAATCCTTGCAGTCACGAAAGCTTCAAATCTAGAAGTATTAGAGGTAATTTAATTGCATTAATGTCCATTAGTAAAGTCATGATAGTTTTGCAAATAGTAGCGCTGAAAACTAAAGATAATCGCAGGCAGTTAAATATAGTGCCATGAGCCTAATCTCCATCTTGTATTAACAAGCTTTTGGCACTGCTAGTGGCACTTGCAAAAAATGAGTGTGGCGCACTTTACATTTTTGTCTATAATTCACTGACAGACTCAACAACAAAAAACCCATGTAAGCCAAGCCCCCCTTGTTAGTCTGCTCTGTGGCAATGTCGTAAAAGTACTTCCAGACTCTGAAGGTAAAGTGTATATTATCTGTGTAAGGGGCCAATGCTGGTACAGCGTAAGTGCGTATCATGTTTATAAGACACGATGTTTGACCTACAATAGCAGCTTGTTTTGGAGGAGCATTTGTTAGATGTGAGCTTAGATTGTTGGCCCCTCTTGTGGATCGCTTGCCCAGTGGTGCCCCTTTCATCCCAGCCTTCGAATGCTTTGGTTCCCAGTGTCACATTTCGCCACGCGAGGGTTGGCACAGCCTCACCCTGGGGCACAGACGGGACGAGAGTGGCCCATTGTGGGTGGTGCATCAGCCCAACAAGTGTCCCTGGAATGGCACATACATCTTCAGTGTGGGTGTCTGTCTGGCATGCAAATAGCGCAAGGCATTGCGACGTTGGCGGGAACAGACTAAGGGGAGGGCAGCGTGACAGATGCAAGTGCATGCCTCTTAGGATAGCTGACCAGTGGCAAAGGGTTTTTGTTGCAAACGGAAACTAGTGGTGTATGTATGTTGAACCTCTTTCGCACTGTATGTAGCCAACCATGCTAATTGGAGGGACGGGGGAAAGGACAACAAACTAAACACAAAAAACAATGTTCTTTTGTTTGTATTATGACTGCAGGTATTGCGGTCTATGCAAACATGACTCCTTGCAAAAAGGTGTCAGTTTTGTTGCCAGATAGAAGGGTAAAGAACCAATTATCATATTTTTACTGGCAAATGAGGTCCCCATAGTGTAGATGCTTGCCCCGAGCTCTCATACTCTGATGGTGCATTGTCCTTGAGTTGTGCGCCTTTTGGCGTCATCTGGTCCAACCCATATGAGACTAGGCTCTAAGGAAAGCTGTCTCGGGTGTGGACCAATCAACTTCAAGGACAGTGCACATTATCAGAGTTATGTTCTTTTGTTTGTATTATGACTGCATGGTATTGCGGTCTATGCAAACATGACTCCTTGCAAAAAGGTGTCAGTTTTGTTGCCAGATAGAAGGGTAAAGAACCAATTATCACAAAAAACAGGTCGAAAGAAATGAGTTTTCAATCTAGATTTAAAAGTGCATAGCTCCAGTGGCTTTCTAATATTGGAAGGAAAAGCGTTCCAGACGGCCGCAGAAGTGCACCTGAAAGCGCTCGATGTAGTGACCGTCCTTGTTCGATGGCTAGCCAAAAACCGCTGTGTGGATGACCGGAGTTTGCGTGATGGTTTATGCTCCTTGACAAGGTATTGTGGTAATTGGTTTTTTACCCTTCTATCTGGCAACAAAACTGACACCTTTTTACAAGGAGTCATGTTTGCATAGACCGCAATACCTGCAGTCATAAATACAAACAAAAGACATAACTCTGATAATGTGCACTGTCCTTGAAGTTGATTGGTCCACACCCGAGACAGCTTTCCTTAGAGCCTAGTCTCACATGGGTTGGACCAGATGACGCCAAAAGGCGCACAACTCAAAGACAATGCACCATCAGAGTATGAGAGCTCGGGGCAAGCATCTACACTATGGGAACCTCATTTGCCAGTAAAAATATGATAATTGGTTTTTTACCCTTCTATCTGGCAACAAAACTGACACCTTTTTACAAGGAGTCATGTTTGCGTCATCTGGTCCAACCCATGTGAGACTAGGCTCTAAGGAAAGCTGTCTCGGGTGTGGACCAATCAACTTCAAGGACAGTGCACATTATCAGAGTTATGTCTTTTGTTTGTATTTATGACTGCAGGTATTGCGGTCTATGCAAACATGACTCCTTGTAAAAAGGTGTCAGTTTTGTTGCCAGATAGAAGGGTAAAAAACCAATGATCATATTTTTACTGGCAAATGAGGTTCCCATAGTGAAGGTATTGTGGTTCATTTGTGGCAAATATTTGGTGTGGAATGAGTGCGATCTTATAATAGCTTGTTTTGGAGGATTATGTGATGGTTGTGCTTGTTGAGGGTATGTACCTTTTGACCTGTAGACTTCGCTGCTGGATTTGTGTTTGGTGGTCAAATATTTTCCGTTTGATTCGAATATGATAAACAATTTACCAGAATTTCAGTCTGTTAGTAAGCGCTACATGTCTGCTGTGTGCATTGTAAGCAGATGTTTCTCGGATATCACCATCACAATGACATCACACAATGCTGCCAAGTCTCAAATCCATTAATTCCATTCGCAGCACTTGACATTTATTTTACAACCTGATTTTCTTGGATGAGACATGTGCCTGCCAGTGTATTTGGCATTTTACATGTTTATATTTATGAGGTCATTCACTGTACATTGCTGTACAAATGCTTCATGGTTTGTCTTTTTATGGACATTACTGATGTAAAACGTAGCATTACAACATTCATCCTAAGCATATTTTACAGACTATGTTAGGATTATTAAATACATATCTACTACATTATAATAAAATTGTATCATACACATGTACAGTAAATGTTATACCAGACCATCTCAGAATCAGAATCTTTATTTATCCTGGAGAAATCCGATGAGCTCTGCAGCTTTTTTACAGATGTCCAGTAGATGCATTTTTACAGATGCATGATGATCTGTATTATGCAAATTATATTGACTGTCTTGAAAATGTTTAATTTTGTATCTGTCCCATATTTCCCTTCGTCGTTACAATTTTGACAATATTCTAATCAGCGGATCTCCACCTCTTGTTACATTGTATTTTATAGCTTTATTTTGGTGATTTCGAAAACATATGATTAAGCCATGTTTCTTGCGGAAGTGCGGAGTTGGCCTGATGGCTTAAATCTAAGTTGTCTTATGGTTGTTGTTGTTGTTTGACTTGCATCACACTGGAATTGTTGCACACAGCGTTGTAATACGGTGTTTTTTTCTGGAAGATTTGCTTTAAGATGTTCTCTGTTCATATTTTGTTTGTTGCGGTTGCATCCGGCTCAAGAGCCGCATGGCTCACAGGGCTATACCAAATAAATGAAACATGAAACTTATCCAATAATTGGCTTTTCATAAGATTATTTACACATTTCACTTTAACTTTACGTCTAGTAAACAGGGTGACTAGGATACATGACATTTCATAGGGATGTGCCCAACGCCAAGGGAACACATTCATTCATTTCCAAATCAGCCAATGCAGTTGATTTTTAAATATCAGACGTAATATCAGTCACACAATGACCTTACACTTCCAATGGCATCATTGTGCCTTTGACAGTGTTCCTTAATATTGTCAGCCAGCATGATTGAGTGGAGATTGAAGCCAATTCGACAAATGCTTGCAATTTGCCTCCTCAGTAGAAAGTGCATCACCCCACTGGGTTATACAACTGCCCAACAGGGTTAAGTTAAATTTTGCCGCTGGCGCCAGGCCATGAATCATGAGTTGTGGAGTCCTGAAGAGACGAGGTTAGAGGTGAGTGTTTAATTTAGGCTCAAGTTGAAGTTCTTCCTGCCAAGATGGAGAGTCTGCTTTACAGTGGGGCCTTTGCACACTCTTTGACATCGAACTCCCCGTGGATGACCTTCGCACCCAAACGACGAACATAGAACACGTGTGTTCGTTCTATTGTGAATCTGGTCCAGTGTAAAGATGAATTAAAGTTGTATGTGTGGCCATGCTACAGTCAAGTTTCAAGCGAGTATAAGCGTACGGTGATGGCAATTTCATTATTTTCGTGATATTATTTGGGTCTTTTGGTAAAGCCACGTAGATAAAAAAAAATCACGACGTTTCGATCGCAACACAAGCAATTGTCTCTTTTTCACCTGAAGATGATTGCTTGTGTTGCGATCGAAACGTCGTGATTTAGATTTTATTATTTTTGATATCTACGTGGCTTTACCGAAAGACCCAAAGAATATGCATGCCTGAAGTCACGAAAGCTTTAAGTCAAGATTTTCGTGATGTTTATATTATGGCAAAAACGTTTCTCTTGAGCATGTATGTTACATGTTTATATTGTGAATGCATCAGTCCGTGGGTGATTGTGAATTTGCCTTGTATATTCTACAGATTTTAAATTACATGCGTTAAATAATTAATACGAGTGTAAGGCAGTTAATTTTTAAGAAACTGTACCAATGAGGTTTTATAAGTCATGATGTAACATCAGTATTTGTTCCAATTTAACATTTTGATCCAAGAAGTAATCTATATTTTGCCAAATTATCCTCCTATAAATTATATGAATGCGAAAACTAATAGCGTGAAACCATATTTTAATACAGCACTGAGAATGTTGAAAATTACGAAACTGAAATAAAAAAAGCACAATATAATATAATTATTCAAGTCATATTAACTAAATCTCCCATCAGTATGTATTTCATGATGTGTGACCAATAATATTACAAAAGATACTAAGATATATGGGATGATGCTGTGGGGGTAATGGTTAGCACACTGGACTTGCCATCCAGAGGTCACCAGTTCGATCTGCTGGCGAAGTAGTAGAAACAATGGGTGAAAACTTTCTAAAATCTCTTGTCCGCCCAGCAGTATAAAAGGGCACGCCACAGTTTGTCGAGCGGTAGGTCGTACGTGGTTGGGGTAAAGTGTGGGTACTCGCAACGCTTCCAAGATGTCTGGCCAGTGTGGTCGAGGTGGAAAAACACCCTCCTCGAGGGGCTATACAGCTCCGTCTCGTGGAGGCCCTTCTGCCAGCCGTGGTGCATGTATGTAGAACTTCTTTCGCACCGTACATAGCCAACAGTGCCCGTCGGAGGTGCGGTGAGCAAGCAGTTGCAAGACTGCACCTTTGCCTTTTTACTTATATCTACAGAGTATATATATTTTATATAAAACAATGAGCATATCCTGTGAGGCAAACCTGTTCATTTTACAATGTAAAATCTTCTCCAGCAATACTTTACCACGGTAACATTGAAATAGCGCGTAAGCCATCGCGGCAGGTTGCAGCATTCTTGTGACAGCACGAAGTCTTGCGTGAATGCAATCTGACAGCTTGTTATGTACAGCGGTGGGTTTTTGTCATGAGCTGTGAAAACGGGAAGCTGCAGCCGAGCGAGCTGTCACTCTGGAGCTGCGCACGATTTATTGCCGCGTCCTCTGTCACCGAGCCCTCGGCTGATCCCAGAGCCCATCAGCGGAGGAATTCCAGAGAGCTACACAGACTCCTCTCAGTGTCGTCCCGTTGTCGCACGCAACGGTTCAACCACAGACTTCCTGCGGTGCAAAATGTGCCAGTCTGTTTTTCTTTTGCTTATTGACTGCCGAGTGTTGTTGTTGTTTTTCTTTATTTACGTGGAACCGAAGTCAAATGTGTTCCTTCCCATGATTAATTTCATTATCTTGGGTACTTTGATCTGTTTGTACCAAAAGGGAAAACGTGTTTCTCCATGTAAGTGGTTTGGACCTGCAATTTGCACAACTGTGATTATATTTTTAAATAACTTAAATGTGGAAATTTTACAATTTACATTTCATTACCTATAGGCATGCTCACGGTAATGTTACCTCAATAGTTAGCATCAGACAACTTTTCTCCAAGTAACATATCCTGAATGGAAAAACCAAGGCCTGCCTTAAGAGCTTATGCTACTTATCTGTTTATATGAATTTTCAAACAAAGCTGAATTAACAAGCAAGCTTACAACTTATACGCATGTAATTTAATAATACAAAAATAACCCCCACAGCCGTGCTGTGTATTCTTCAGACAAAGATCCAGAGCAAGGCGATTCACTGCCGAGCAACCAAGATATTTTTCCAAGTGACCACGACTACATCCCGCAAGATCCCTTCCCACAAGACCCCTTTCCTGAAGACCCCATTTCAGAAAATCCATTCCCAGATGAGAACCCTCCTGACAAAACCAATGATGACGAGGAGGACGACGACGACGAGGAGGAGGAGAAGGAAGAGGAGGAAGGCTCCGAGGAGAGTGGTCACGCAGTCAATGGGACAAACGGAACGCCGTCAAACAGCCAAGAGCCGCTGGGTGACCATTCCCGCGACATCATCCCCGTCTACTGCTCCATCATGGCGGCTGTTGTGGTGGGACTGGTGGCGTACGTCGTCTTTAAGCGGTGAGGCTCGGGCCTTCTTCTCCGTGTCTCGGTGGAAGACACTGACAATGGTGACGGGCGTGATGGCTCACGCCCACAGCCCAGTGAAATGGAGGCAGGATTAGTGGATCGTGTGCTGAGGTCATGAACACGATACACCCACACTTGCATGTACAGTGAAGTGGTAGCTGTGGAATAAGTTATCTGTGAGCGTGGGGTATCCTCTGGTTACTACAGACACATGTTCATCTTTATATTGTGCACGGTGCTTGCACGCATGTGTACGTACATATGTGCATGCAGTTAGATAATTGCGTGAGATCACTCGCACGCAATTTGATTTCATGTTTTCATAAGTGTGCATTTGGCAATGGCCAGCAGTTTATTGCAAATGTGTTGCACTTGAGCAACTATTGCTGTGGGTGGCATCACGTGTTTGTGCTTTACACACTGCCTATTATTATTTACGAAAAAAATCATTCATGAAAGATCTTTTGTTGAATTTTCATGCCAGCCATTCTGCCAAAGCAAACATAATGCAGATGTTCTAAGAAAATAGAATTGCAGCATGCTGAAGTGCATTCTGCAATTCCTTTTTAAATCCTTTATATTAAGTTCGCATGCTTGCTTGCTTGCGTGCTTGCTTGCTTAGGACCGTGCAAATCTTTCGGTCGTTTTTTAACCCACTTCCCGTGATCCAATCGAGCTGACATTTTCCACACAGACTCGTTGTGCCAGACAATTATTGTTCGTGAAAAAAAATTCCCAAAATGTTACACTTCTTAGGCAAAAAAAATTTTATTTTACATATATTCAAATATAACTCATTCATCGCTTTGGCTGAACGTCACAGTATAAGAGCCCAGAACGTAACCCCTCCACAGGCCGTGGCGAAGTAGCGCAGTTGGTAGCGCCCTCGCTTCCCATGCCAAAGGTCGCGGGATCGATCCCCGCGTCCTCCACAGGCGAATATATTTTAAATCCTTTATATTAAGTTCGCTGCCACGCATATAAAGGATTTATAGTGAAAAACTTTGTTTTTACGGGTTATACGTATTGGTTAGCCGACACTGGATTTTAATGAGAACAGAAAGACATAACTTGGGTGCAGTCATGTCCTTCGTGTTCCACAGTAGTAGCACTTTCCATGTTTCACCTTTCTGAGCCGAGTCACTTTGTTCCATACATCTCCCAACATATAAAACACACAGCAATTGTCAAAAGCCAAGCATCTACAGGAACACACGAATCCTAGGGTGACATGATTTTGCTGTTTTTTCCTGGATTTTTCTGTTTACGCATAGTCACTTTAAGATGTTTTCTTGTTCATGTTTTTTGTTTTTTGTTTGTTGCGGTTGCACGCGATTCAAGAGCCGAATGGCTCACAGGGCTACACCTAATAAATAAAACTGAAACATTATGGGTGGGGCAATTTTCAGTATAATGGTGTTTTTAGTTCACCGCCACATTAATTAAGCACCCATTTTTAGGGGCACTTTTGTAAGATTTTGCATAGATTTAATGTGATAACTTTACATTTTAAAAGTTGATCAAAGACATTATCAATCACCTAGGCTAGTGATTTCCCATATCTTATCATCTGTCTACTGGACGAAAGCCTCCCCACGCTGTCGCATGCCTGCAATGCCACAATCTATCTCGCTCCTACACATGAACTGATCTCATTAATCACGTGCAAAAGGTGCTGTGACCCGAGTGTGGATGAGAGGTGATTTGAAACATTTTCAGAGGTAGCTCAGCGATGTCCACTTCCATAGACCAGTCTCTAATCGTCATCCTCTAAGGTGTCCTCTCACCCTCATCTGCCATTCCATCACTGGGTTTGTTTATTGTCAATTGGCAATCATCCCTTCTAGCAATCTTTCCTGCCCAAGCCCACATTCCTTTCTTGACAATTTCCAATCCAGGTTGAAAGTGTTAATGCATTAGCTTTGTTCGTCCGTCTGCCTCTAATGACATCTACCACTGAGCCACATTGTCCCCTGGCCAATATACATCTCTTATAACGCAATTGCAATAACGTTGCATTGATGAGTTTGTTCCTTTAGTGACGTAGCTATTCAAATCATTAACCAGTGTTCACATCTGAGGTGCAATGTCAGTGACACATAATGTTGTGCTGGCTGATAATTAAATGACGGTTTATTTTAACAACATTAATTTCATTTTCATTGTCTTTCCTTTAGAAATATCACAGAATAGAAAATTGATGAATAAATACAAAAGCTCGAAATGTTCATGGGACCTTTGTAAATCAAATATGAAACTAAGTTTGATTGTCAACTATTTTGCTTTGGATAAAGAGAGAAAAACAAAACACACAACCCAGAAACACATGAGAAAACATCACGTGCGTTTGTTTCCTTATTGATGCACTCGCACACACTTGGTATCCGTACAGAGAAAACAATATTGTATGTCAGGAAAAAAAACAAATTGGAGTGGGTTTGCTGATCCTAAATTCCCACATGCTTTAAAAGGGCCCAATATAAATGCAGTTCACCTGGCTCAGTTGGGGTGCAAGGCTGGTACCAATCTGCAAACTCTAATGTCTGCCAGCTGTGCGGTCGCCCGTGCCAGGAATTTTGGATAGGGAAGGGTCGAGGGAGTAAGGATGAAGGGCTCTTTGAAGGAGCCAATGTAATGTAGTTCTTTTCCCGATATAGGCTTCCATTAGGAGGGGCTATGGGAGGACCACTGAGCAGATATATGAGTGGCTTAGGACCTGCCTGTGGTATAAACATGCCCTTCCCCGAGCTCCTGGTGGCATTCTCCAGTGGCGTTCAGCTACCCTGCATTTAGACTGGATGATGCAAATCCAGTCAGGATATCACTGCAGCATTCTCAGACCAATTTTAATTCCCTCTATAGCAACTGTATTTCGGACAAACGTTCACAAACATTGAGTTGAGATTAGAAAAAAAATCACTGGGTAACTTCGGCACACCATTAGGGCTCACGTTTGTCCCCTGGAACTGGCCCGGCGTTTGTTTGACCGGTGTTTGTTTGGCAGGTGGCACAGCTGCAAGAACGTCCAGGGCAGCAAGGCGCGTGGCGAGTACAGCCAGGCGGCCGACGGGGAGAAGCAGCACCAAGACAGCGGTGTGTTTGTGGACGTGCAGAACGCACAGGAGCAACAGCAGCCTCAATCTGCAGCAGGTGAAGCAGGAGTTCATCCGATTGCTAGACGCACTTCATCCCATCCACATTCAGTGCACGTATCCATCGGATATGAGCTGTTGTGATTAAGGACAGGTGTGTTTATTGTGCCTTAAAACAAATATTGTGTGCTATGTGTATTTAGCAGACATAAAAAAACCACAGCACTCCTTGAGTGGAACGTTACATGAACTCACTATCATGTTGTGGAGCATTATGGGCAAATTAGTAACTAAATTAATGGATCTCCGTTCTGTATCTCCAGATGTATTGATGATTTGTTGACCTGGGTCCAGTGGCTCAGACTGAGTGATTTTGCTCATACCATTTGGCAACCATGCCAGCATTTGTTTCAAAAGCCTGCTTCTTCTGATGAAACCCAAAAGTTTGAAATCGGCCAAGAATGTTTTAATTCAAACGGATGCTGCTCGATAATAATGCACCGTAAAGTCTATGCAACCAATAGAAAATAGACACACGTTATATTTATGTGCAGGTATGGAATAGCGGTTTATTGATATATGCGATTAGAGTAGTTTTCTCCATTGATCTGCTTAAATAGGGTGATGCAATTATCCCATTTTAATACTGCATGTGAATAATACATTCAGATCACCGAATTTAACACTGCACCACATTTCATGTTGCTCGGGCAGTGTGTGACACCACGTCTCCACACTTTGTGTGCGTTGCGTTCAGCATGTTCCACAGGATTGTGCTGGACAAACAGACCGATGCCTTGCCTTCATGCAGTTTATCAATGTAATCAGTTCAGGCGACATTTCCATCTGTTGTGATACTACATCAATGTTATGCTTGTTATCGCACAACGTTACGCGATGGGTATTTGTGTTGTACAACATTCCCCGTGGCTATTTGGCATATAATGTGTGGCATACGCTCTGCATGAGAGCTTGCTTAAGCGAGTGTGAATTGTTTAACCACGTGTCCGCGGTGCACTCGAAGCGATCGGACATCAGGATGCAATCAGTTGCACCTGGAAATGATTGAGTCAACAGGAAATTGCGTGGAGTAAGCGTTTGTCAAAGCAGACACTGCCGACAACAAACGTTAGTCGAAGATACGCACCTCATTAAAACATTACGCTAATTGGACTTTGCGCGTTGGCTAAAGGGGGCTTTTTGTTTGCAGGGTCACCGACCAACGAGGCATTCGTTGGTGTTTAGCAAGCATTTGTTAGCACTTACTAAACATATGCTTGTACTTAATAAGCATTTCCCATGCGCTACTAACGATTCAGTGTTGCTCTTTTGAACATTAGGGATGTTACTGTGGTGTGACGGTTCGCACACTGGACTTGCAATTTCAATGTCGTCGATTCAATATCCCGGCACAGCAATTGAAACAATGTCCACCTATCTCACATCCCCCTTCCTCTGCCCACCCAGCAATATAAATGGGTAGACCGCAGTTAGTCGATCTCCACTTCACATGCCATTGGGTACAGTGTGGGTACTACCAAGATGTATGTTGAACTTCGTTCGCACCATACGTAGCCAACCGTGCTAATCAGAGGTGCAGCGGGATGGACAACGAACTAAACACAAAAAGCAGTTCTTAAGAAATTCTTTGCAATCCAGATTTAAAAGCGCATAGCTCCAGTGGCTTCCCAATATCGGAAGAGCGTTCCAGATGGCCGCAGAAGTGCACACGAAAGCACGCGATGCGGTGACCATCGTTGTTTAATGGCTAGCCAAAAGCCACCACTGCAAGGATGAGCGGATTTCGCGTGATGGTTTATGCTCCTTGACGAGATGAGCGAGGTATTGTGGTTCATTTGTGGCAAGCACTTTGTGTGTAACGAGTGCGACCTTAGAATGTATTCCCTATGATGTAATGGTCTGGCAAGTGTGCAAGAGTAGGCCAACACACTCTATAGTGGGGCTCTCTAAAGCTCCCTTTGGTGGAAGCCCTTCTGTCAGCAGCGACGTGATGAAGCTATCACAAGGCGGCACCTTCACCATTTTTAGGGGCCGTCCATAAATGACGTCACGCACCGGTGGGGGGGGGGGGGTCAGACATTTGTGACGATGTGTGATGAGGGGGGGGGGTGGGGGGTGTTGGAGAAATGTGACGTCACATCAAAATGCGCAACTTTAAATAAATATAGGCAACACATTCTACTTAATTAAATATACTTTTTAATAAATGCTTTCTCCTACAACATCAGAGTGCAGCGCCACATTAAATACGCACTACAATGACAATAGTTTAAAGCGATTTGAAGCATGTTTTATTTTGGGGGGGGGGGGGCAGAGCTTTGTGACGTCATATTTGAGGGGGGGGGGGGGTCTGACTTTTTGTGACACCGTGTGACGACGGGGGGGGGGGGGTCAAAATTCGTCCAAAATCGCGTGACGTCATTTATGGACGGCCCCTTACACAGTGGCACGCGGCGCCTCGCTGACCTCTACCATGTCTCCCATTCGGCTTTGCCAGGCAACGCGGCGGCAGGCACGAAGTGGCTATACGACGCGCTGCCCCCCCACAAGCAGGAGGAGGTGGAGAGGCTGCTCCTGGGGGCGTCCGGCACCGGCGCCGACGATGCCACCGACTGGAAGGGCCTTGCGGCCGCGCTGGGCTACGCCGAGGCCGAGATCGCGGAGTTGTCCGAGGGCGAGCGACCAGCGCACGCGCTCCTCGCCGGGTGGTCGTCCCGCGAGGGAGCCAGCGAGGATCTGCTGCTGGACGCGCTGGGGCGCCTGCAGCGCAGCGACGTCGTGGCCACGCTCCGCGCAGAGACCAGCGCCGTGTCCGTCGTGTGAGGATGGGGTTGGGGGGGGGGGCATTCGTTGCGGTCACGACGCCCATGTCCCCAAGGAGGGAGGTGGGGTGGAGGCTGAGCGACGCCGTACGGCTTCGGGGGGAAATCATCAGCAAGATATGTCGACCCAAGACGAGAGCCCTCTGGGGCGTGGTGTGGCCACGGCTGGTCTCATGTCCCCCAATTTGGTGGTTGCTCCCAGGACCGGCCCTAGACCTTTGGGGGCCCTAAGCAAAATTTGGTTGGAGGCCCCTTTGATGTATGATTTTTTTCACCCACTAGCTAGCAGTGACTCTAGGGGGCCCTCTGCTGGCCACGGGGCCCTTTGCAATTGCAAGGGTCGCTTAGTGGCTGGGCCGGTTCTGGTTTCTCCCCTACACAGGCCCGCAGTGATCACGTCAAGCTTTGGCCCACCCCCCTCTCCGCCGCCACCAGGCAAACCACCAGAGATGCGTGCATTTAATGTCGCGTCTTTGTTTGAAGGAAACTTTTGTCTTCTGAGCGCGGTTGAAACCGATTTAGTTTGTTACATTCTCGAATCTCGGCCTGTTTCAAAGAAAGAAAAAAAAGTTACTAATACTTCACTGTTTTATCATCTACTGTAACCTTTCTCTTCTGCATTAAGATTATATCTTGTTCCGTATTTTTTTTGTTTCATGCTCCCAAATGTACGTATGTTGAACTTCTTTCGCACACTTTGTAGCCAACCGTGCTAATCGGAGGTGCAAAATGACACCTTTTAGATAAATAATGGCCAAAGTAGCTTCACGCAAATATTCGTTGTAAACCTGCGGGATGATTATGAGATAAATTAGGTGAAATGCAAGTGTTCCCTTAAGCTCCACACACCATATATCTCATTAAGTAGTGTTAATTTACATTGCATATAAGGAATAACAGTGCTATGCATTGTAAATACAATTCCCACAAATTTAGGGATACAAACTTTCAATTTTAGACAGTTGCCAGGTATGGGGTTAAAGTCTTAACTCCACGGCACGTGTCACTGTCAAATAATTATAAAATAAACAAACAAATGTGACCCCCATGCTAACCCTCACCTGTTATTAACCCAGTAATTGCTTGTTAATACTCAGACCTAGCAAAGTTGCCCTTGATCTCCGAATGTTAATTGTTAACCAGAAAACGCCATACACATCTGTGTAAATATCTGCTCACTCTTAATGCAGCCAAATCCATCTGCCTCCTATTAAGTCAACTATTTTTTTTCTCTGTTTTTGTAGTCAGAATAATAATTAAAAAATCCTAAATTATCGTTTTGTATATTTACCCTTCTTAAACAATGCATGGAAAAATGGGATACGTTTCTTGCGATGTCAGTTTAAAGCTCTAAATAGAACTAAAAACTAAGTGATCAGGCAATCTTTTTTTAAAGCTAACAATTACATGACCAATCAATGAAAACTGCAGAAATTGTGCCGTTTGAGTGGTTCTCTGTGCATGTTAATGGAAAGGTATCCGCATGATGAGAGTTGAACATTTATCGGGTGGCCACGACCTGCGAGATCACTTGGACGCTCTAGAGCCCATGCATTACCGACATCCGCATCGCACGCTCGACACGCCGTCTTGTCCGCATTGGGTTGCAATCTGACCCAACGATGCTGCCTTAAATGTCGACGAACAAATGTCAATCGCTGCATTAATTTGCAACTTTTTTTTTATTCTTCTGGAAACCGCAAAAAAACAGAACATACATTTGTTGGACGTTGTATCCGTGCTTTCCCATGTGCGCGTTGTGTGTACATTTGTATGCAAATAACTTACACTATCAACGTTTATAAAGACATGTAAATTAAAAAATGCTGTTTACATTCAGCTATTTTTTTCTGAAATTGAATAATTCCAAATGGTGTGTTTGTATGAAGGTTTAAAGTGAATGTTGTATGAAGAAGCTCTGGGTTTTCTCCCTATTTCATGGCTGATGAGGATGATATGACACTTGAATGATGCATTATATATGGGGAAGCAGAATTATCAATAGGCGTTTATTTGTCACGATTCATGGATTTCAGAAAACAAATATGCTTCGCGTATTCTCCCGCTTAATTCCATAGGTGCAATTAAGGTGACAAGACATGAATTGTACACGGAGTAATTGTCTGTAGTATCGATGCAAACATTTATTAGATCGTACATTCAGGTGTAATTGGAGATAGTACAGTAATAGGGAAAACATACTGTACTGTCGTTGCAATGTTAACACGTGCAACATACAGCACACGTGCTTCAGTAAACATGTATTTCAACCAGCCAACAATTACCAAACTCAATCCGAGGCTCTCCTTTTATGCTATGGAAGGTAAACAGAATTTTTCCAGATTTTTTTTTTAACGTTAGTACAACCCACTGTGTTTTGCGAACCACACTTTGACAATTGTTCGACTATTTGTATATGCTTTAGCAGTCAGTTTTCAAACTCAGGATTCACCATTTACTTATACCGTTTCACGGCCATCGGCACTGCTTGCGAGCTTTGTGCCATTGCATTTAACGATTTTGTATCAGTACCCAAAACCAACCATACTACAGGGATGCAACCACACTCCTTATCGCTGTAATCACAGATTTAAAGGGGATCAAATTATAATGCTGCTTGTGTTATTTACTTCAGTGGCATGGCAAGGGAAGCATACACATGTCCATCACTGGGTTAGGATATTGGATATGAAAAATTTAACATCATGCATTATCACTGCATCCGGCTATGTCTCATTATAAGCCAGATGTTTCAGTGTAGCATGTATATCATTACGTATGTCTTGATTGCAGTATATAGCTTCTATGACTTGCGAAATAGGACGAAGGGCCATGGTCATCAGATATTCTGTGTTTTGGATAATCTTCACACAGTCAACCTTAATATTGTATCTAAATGTGTTTATACACCTTAGCCAGCTTCACGCTCTTAATACTCTCATGTATTTACGGCCGTATCTTTATTACAAGTAAAACAGTATATGACATGATACCACCAAATTTCTTCAACTTCAAAATGCACGATTCTAATTAAGCGGCGTCCACACGAAAGAAGTTAACCATTCCAGACAATGGCTTATCAAATGTGGCATCTGTGCTGCAGAACGTGGGACACGTTTTGTTGTCCAATGTACTTCAATGTTGATATTAGATATTGAGCTGAACCTTCACTAACATCCATCAGTGGTGGGAGCATGCGTCCAGCCCAGGCCCCTACTCACATGGCTCCCATCTGGTCACCCAATAATAATTCCCCCGGCACGAAAGTAACCGGAGAATGATCCAATTATAGATGCCCATCAAAACGATAGGAAGGCATTATAGATATATATTTTTTATTTTTTTTCAAAGCCACTTAGTTTCACATAAAAATGTTAATAATCTCCTCTGTAATACATGGAGCCCTCTCTTTCAAAATATCCAGTCACCTGCTGGGAATACAAATGGTAATGAGAAATCAGTGGGGTATCTATAAATGTACTATAAATATATTTAGTCAAGGTAGTCTGTCGACTTTGGAGGCTTACATTCTGCAGCACAATACCAACCTTTTGCCTCCCACTCTCGCTTCACGCCACTACTAGGCAATCTCACGTCAGGCACAGATACGACGCTGCCAAGGCAGCATCGATTAATTCTACACATTGCTCTCACTGATTTGTCTTTCTCCACTGCTGGCCACATCGTCACTAAGGGAACACCACCTGTACGTGCAGACGGCATACGCCATAATGCAACTCGGAGGCTCTCGGAATGCAAGATGTATGTAACCATGACTTTATTGAGAATTGAAAAGAAGCGTGAGAAGAAAGCAAGTCGAGCTGGAAAGCCAATCTGCCAAGCATACGTTGTTTTCTCTTCGTGGGCATGATTTGCAGTGTGTGACAATGTGCGATGGCACATTGTCGTTGATCACAACGGCTGTTTGGGTGTCGAATGTTACATTCAATAGCCCAGTTATGCCGTTCGTGGAAGATGGGGAGGTGGGGAGATGGCACAAGGCAACAAAGAAAGTCACGTGATCAGAGAGACTGGAACTGCGATTCCCATGGCAGGTGATGCATTCATCTAAAAGTGAAACAATAAAAGTTCAAGTTTTAATTTGTCATGGCAATTGCTTGCTATGTTTCATGCGAATTATTGCTGTGTTAATGTCAAGCACATTTGTTTTATAGCAATGCATGCTGGAGGAGAGCTTGGGTACTTCTGAAAAAAACAGAATAGTTGTAATGAAGTTGTGGGTACCAAATTTGGGGTGTGTGAAGTCTACATGCAGGAACCCAAATCAACAACAGCTAAATTTCGATTTAAAGCTTTCGTGACTGCAGGGATTCATCTTCTTGGTTCTTTCGGTAAAGTCATCACGTAGAAGGGAAGTAATAAAATAATAAAAATAACTTTACCGAAAGAACCAAGAAGATCAACAACAGCTGTTACAATGAACTTGTTTATACATAACATATATAATATAATGGAACTTTGGTTACGTTTGTGCGCATTGAGATGCCTTTGATATATCCTATTTTTGTTTTGACAAAGGTAAGCGAATATCATACCGCAAACTATACGTCGCCGCGGTTGTATAATTGCTGCATTAAATAAAGATTTGGCACGGTGGTTAAAACTAAACAATTTTGAAAGGATGTTATGATCAATTCAACGAGATTCTAATTGCGGGCGTATGTAGAAATAGCAAGAGATGCGTGGCTGCATTGAATTCTTTTTATAACGTTCGAGACCTTCATTGCACGTGTGAGAGGATCAAGATCAGTGGCCAAAGTGCAGCACGGCAAATATTTAACTCGGTTCATGTTGAAATGTAATTTGAGAGCAAATTAATTAATCTAATGATGATAATTAGGCACTTGAGGAATGCGGCTCGGGTTCCATATGACGGTGTGATGACGCCGTTAAACTCTTTGGAAATCTGATAGTAAAGTGATTAGCCAACAGCGTTACATTTCTATAAAATGTTTGGGAACATTGCACTCTGCGACACTTGTGAATATTGTTGAATCGATCCTTTGTAAAAAAAAAAAGTGTGACATACGTGTGCATGATCATATACGGTACTCGAAACGTTCTGCTTTCCTCGGCCTATGTTTGTGTCTATATTCGTAAAACGTTGGTCTGAATTTTATGTAATTCCCCAAACTATTGGAAATGTCTGAATTGATGGCATAGTAGTGATAAAGTGTTTGCCTCTTGGCATAGTCATGTGTTGTTTCCAAGATATTCCGGTGTCGAAATCGGTGTTTTCCTAAATCATCCATCATGCACAACGCTGCTAGTGAATGGCAACGGTGTTGTAATGTATTGCTCCAAACAGCTCACAGCTGTTTCATTTCACTGTCTTTATCATAATAAAAATTGTATTCAAGCACACGCTTGAAAAGTATGTTTTTTCACTTTTTTTTTTTACCTTTCAACTCACATTGCTCCAGAAACTTGAAACTCTCCCACAGGACAGAGACAGACGATTATATGAAGGTTGTCAATTCCAGGAATTATAGTTCAGAGAAAAGTAAGGCAGGGTTCAAAATTATCCCAAGTATCTCATTAAAAAAAAAACTTTGCATGCTGCTGGTAAACATGTTGCACAATGCTTTATTTTTATTGAATAGATAATACTTATAATTTAAAAAAATTGGCTGATACATAATAACTTACGAAGCACAGCTTTTCTCGTTTGCAATGTCTGGTCAATATTTTAGTACTTTTGTATCAGTAAAGTCATATCTGAGTGTATGAGAGCCACTGGAGCTATGCACTTTTTAATCTAAATTGAAAGTAATTTCTTCAGAACTGCCTTTTGTGTTTAGTTTGTTGTCCTCCCACACCTAGCACGGTTGGCTACATACAATGCAAAGAAGTCCAACATACATACATACGAGTGTTCTCATATATCAGTTATCCTTATGCAGTTTATACTCTTTGTTGGGGAATTAAATTTATATTCTGATTTAAAAGTGTTAATCCCAATTCTTATTCTGAACATTGTCAAGAAATTACATCCCACAATAAAAACACATTAAAAAAAAACTGAAATTCTTTACGCATGTGCAATCCACGTGCAATTATCAACACCATTTCTAAAGACCTTCTGATGTGGGAATTCTCATTGGCAGATATTCAAGGTGGCCTTGGAGGCTGCTAGCAAATTACACTAAGCACTCTAAATGAGATTCCTATAGGGAGTTGTGTTTCTGTGGCTTCACAACCCTTCCATTACACACGCACGCACACATGCTGTCACCGCAGTCTAGCTATAGGTGTCACATAAATATTATGTCCACGAGACCAAGGACCCTGCACGTTTCTGCAGGTGGGCAACACATGTTCTGGGATAGTGAGGTAATTTGCGTGTAAGGCACCCACGTGTCTCTCATTCATGGCTGTTGGCTCCAATGGCCAATGTGAAAAAGAGAGAGAGAGAAAACAACTCAAATAAAAACAGCTGGGCCCCAAGCGGAGAACAAAGGCTGCTATGGAAGCGCGGTTCAGCAGTGATCAGACAAGCGAAACGCCTCACAAGGCAGCGTGTCTCCGACGCAAGGCATGGCATTAATCATCCCTTGCGCGCCTCTTAACAAACGCCAACCCCAATTGTAGTGAATAGCCGGAGTCAAGCGATCGCGCTTGATCAGGCCTGCAAGTCTCACAGTTCGCCATGCAACGGTGTAATGGCTGTACGAAATAATAAAACGACGTCGTTGTGCAATTCGCATTTGGAGGGGTAATGAAAACATGTATTTACACCTCGAATTGTTTAATTGTATCGATTGATTTCGTGAGAGGAATAATAGTGCAGTGGTTGATCTCAAGTTACATCCTACAGGCCTTTTGGAGTAACTACTTAATAATGCAGTGCAGGTGGAGCGTTGGCACAGTGGTTAGCGCACCCCACGTTGAACCCGGTGACCTGGGTTTACTTCCTGGCCACAGTTCGCATCAATGGGGAGTGATATTTGAACTCGTCCTGGCATCCCACCCATCCACAAATCTGCACTGACCAGTGTGATGAAGTATGGTCAAAGAACCTCCCCCCCCCCCTGGCCAGCACAGCATATGGAAGTATTCATCCAGCATTTGATTGACAAACGGAAATAAATTAAATCCGTCATTATTGTGATATTTAGGGCAGGTGAATATTTAGTGATGAAATTAACATTATGGAAACACTTTCTACATAGATAGCATCAACAACACATTTAAGAAAGTAATGTATACTTTGCCTTACAACAGCGGCATTTATGATCTTAACTCAAAAAGTGCAAACATTTCGCAAAAAAGTGATTATCATCTACTGGACATCTGTGAAAAACTCCTGGACATCTGTGAAAAAGAGCTTTGTAGTTCATCGGATTCCTCCAGTATATAGATAAATATTCTGATTCTGCTTACAAGACATGGAAATGTGCCAAAATCGGCTTGCCTTCCCCCCCCTTTTTTTTGCAACCAACATGCCACCCACCATGAAGCAATTCACCGAAGGGAAAGTTCCCTTCCCATGGTGTCACATTCGGCGACTCCCCCGCTCACTCGCGGACATCACCCAGCGAACTTAATGAAGCGTGGAGGAAGCTTGAGTGGTCTTCCTGAGGGCCTTCCTCTCTCAACGTGCGGCCCTGGCCGGAGCTTTGTAAGTCACTGGTCACTTCCGACTGATTTCCCTAGGCTGTCATTTGTCTCCGCGAACTTCTGGATAATAATGCCCATAGCCTAATCTCTTTAGGAAAGACCCTTTCACGTCTGTGGGCTCGTGCAATTGACATTATTTAGAGTGGACGTGCAGCCACTTATTTTTCCTGTTAATTTGCGGTGTTGTTTAAATGTTTAATTGATTGAACACATTGCCTTGAAATGCGAAAAGGCCACTGTTCTCAAACGTACTGTGATTGTGTGTGATATAATGCATTCGCTGCGCCTCGTTATATGTGTATATCACAGTATTTCTCACTAAATCGATGAAGCACAAACCAGCGTATGTAAATCAAATGCTTAAGCCAGAAAGCATTGCTTCTGAATATGTTCACTGAGGCTGCTTAAGGATCCACAAATCTTTGGGTTTGATAGCTGATGCATTTATTTCAGGTCAGCCTGTGTTATGATAACGAAAATTGTGCCAAGGAGCCAGCGCATCTGCGCATGTACTTGTTGCATGAGCCTTTTTAATAACTGCCATGAATAAAAAAGTGAAAACTGTTCCGTATACATATGTGATGCTTGTTCAGCATTACTTTAAAACATTTTTGACGTAAAATAGAATCTTGATTTGAAGCTTTCGTGACTGCAGGAATCCATACTCTTTGGTTCGTTCCGTGAAGTCACGTAGATAGAAAAATAATCGATCACGAGGTTTCGATCGCAATACAAGCGACCGTCTTCAAGTGAGTAGACCGTCTTCCTCACCTGAAGACGGTCGCTTAGTGTTGCGATCGAAACGTCGTGATCTATTAATTTTCTATCTACGAGACTTCACCGAAAGAACCAAAGAGTATGAATTAGAATGTTGCGGAGGAACAGTGGAGCGGTCTTTAGCACACCAACCACTGCTCCACAACACCACTGCCACCTTTCACCAACCTACATTTGCCATCGTGGCGACGCATGGTCAAACAACCCACGGTTAACATCTTGCGGTGAGTGATGTCTGAAGCTGTTCTGGGTCCCACTCATCCACCCAATGCACAAGTATGCTAAAGTGTGGTCAAGCAATCTCCACGAATGTCACCAGTGGACTGACAAAGGAATGTTTATTTGTATTAATTTTGTATAACAGACTTGCTCATTGAGGATTTGTCTTTGTCAAAATATGCATCGTGAATAGTCTAAAGACTATGAATGCACTCTGTTAATGCCGTTGTACCCTATGTCACAGCAGACAATAGACCGCTCACATAAAGTGTCAAGGGATCTTTAGCATCTGCTAGGAAATGCGATAACTTTTTTTTATCACTTCTCTAATGATGGATTTCAAGATGCCTGTGCCTACTACACAGCACTGAGGCTAGGATTGAGTTTTCAAGCCATTGACCTATATAGGGCGAGGAAGTGAATATCCCCTTATATTGAGTCCAGCAGCCAGAACCCTTGTGATTATCATAATCAGAATATTGCTTTGTCCTGGAGGAATCCGATTAGCTATAAGCTCGTTTTCACAGATGCCCAGTAGGGGCGAGTTTAGAACGTTACAATAACAAACAGTACAAAATCACGATCGTAGTGCAATGTACAATAAGGTAAACAAATCATCCAAAAACATACAATTAAAACTAAACCATCCCCATCCTACCAGGCAAGGCCTACTGAGGTATTCGCCACAAGGGGCACGTGGGAGTCTGTTAAGGCAGTGGTGGCAGAAAAAGGTGAGATCGGGTGAACGATTGCATGATTTCTCCAGCCACTAATTTTCCTCCAGTATAAAACACAGAGTTCGGTAGGGGCACCGTGATCAGCGTATTTCACGATGAATCCAACGACGATCTCAGATCGATCCCGCCGAAGGCTAGCATTGGTGGCGAGCAATATCTGCACACATCTTGGGTGCTCCCTTCACCAAGCTGCACTGACCACAGTGGTGACGCGTGGTCAAACAAACCCACTGACCAACAAGGCATGGGGGGAGGCCTTCATCCACCAGTGGCATGAGCAAATAATTGCAGGGGAACACTTGAACTGTTTTAGATTTACACAGGCTTCCCATCACACTGCTTTCGTAGAGCTATGATTTGCTAAAGCAGCTGTGAAAACAAGCCTACTTGTGCACACACTCGGATGTAGAAAATATATAATTGCTGCCATATTGTAGCAAACTGTCCATTATAAGTCTCTTAATTATCCTAGTCTAGAAAGCTCCAAATATTAATTTAAAGTTGACTATTTTTACCTGCACCATTGTTTTGTGATATTTTCCAATTTTTTTATATGCTACGATAACATTAATACGAGTAAACACACTGTTAAAGGTGAACAGTGAACGGCAGACTGACAATGAAACGTCTTTGTTGCTTAAAATGCCCGATACATTAACAAAGGTAAATGCATCTTGGGCTGTCAATGGTCGCACCTTGATTATATTGGCATGCAGGCTACAAATGGGGTAAAGCCCAGACAAGCCGATCCATCTGTGCGTCTGCCTTTCTGAGATTTCTAAATACTCCGCCATGGCTCCCGATCCTGTCCGTGATGTAGCCTCTCTCTGGCTCACGGTCGATGGCCTTCATCAATATTTCATGCATCGTTTTAGTGAATATTTTTTTTTCTCTTACAAACATTTTTTTCCCCCTCAATATCCCAAGAGAGACGTGATGAGGCCCATTATCAATCAGTTTTGTACAGTTGAAGAGTGCCTTACGTAGAGAGAATACTGCTCGCACT